AGGAAGTGTCGGAGGAGCTGGGCACATCTTGCTGGACCTTGACCAAGCGCTTCCTGCTTGTCCAAGGCGATGATGGGAAGGAGCGCATCATTGATGACTACCGCAGAAGCCATGTCAATGCTGCTTTTGCTTCTCGGTCGTACCTGGAGTTGCAAGATGTCGATGTTTTAGCGTCGCTGATAACCCTCCTAATGCGCTTGCTGAAAGAAGGGCCACAAGTATCGCTCCAGCTCTCTGATGGCACATTTTTACATGGGCGGCTCTCGAATGCGGCCATGGCGGGTGAAGCTATTCTGGGACGATGTTTCGACTTATCCAAGGCGTATAAACAACTGGCCGTGAGTTCCGCAAGTCTTAAATACTCAGTGCTTGGAGCCCGAGACAGTGGAGGGAAATGGTTTTACTACATTGGCCAGTCTTTGCCTTTTGGATCAACAGCAAGTGTCTACAGTTTCAACAAAACAGCTAGGGCTCTACAGTTTCTGCTCTGGGAAGACTTTGGGGTAGTAACAACGAACTTTTACGATGACTACCCCACCTTGGAATTTGCTATGGCTGCTGAAAACACCACCCAAGTGGTGTCTGGCTTCTTCCAATTGTTGGGCTGGCGCCACGCGGTCTCAGGAAAGAAAGCCAAGCCCTTTGCGTCAACTTTTGCAGCCCTTGGAGTCGAGTACGACCTGGCCAACCTCACCAATGCCTTCTTTACGGTAGGAAACAAACCTGAACGGCTCCTGCGGATCGAGCGGCTGATTGACCGAGCGGCCCAAGAGGGCAGGGTGACCAGTTCAGCTGCAGCAAGCATACATGGCCTTTTAAACTTTGCTTCAGGATTCTCACTTGGAAAGGCGCTTCAGCCTGCGGCTCAAGGTTTCTCTTCATTGGCGACTGGCGTGGAGCTCCAACCAGCAGTCTTTGCTGACCTGTGCGAACATGCGTTGACGATTCTTAAGTCGCTTAGGCCACGAAAGGTTGCAACCTCTGATGAGCCCGTACCAATAATAATCTACACTGATGGTGCTTTTGGAGAAGATTTAGCAGACTGGGGAGCCATCCTTATTGACCCGGCGACACAAACCAGGGTCTGCTTTGCTGGCAAGGTGCCCTCCTTTTTACTGGAAGCTTGGCGTGGTCTGGTTGGGGAACAACTCATTTGTCAGATCGAGATGTATGCGGTCCTGTGCATCCGCTGGCAGGCGCGGCACCTTTTGCACGGACGACGTGTAATTCTTTTCATCGACAACGAGCCCTGCCGATATTGCTTGATCAAAGGGAGGTCACCATCTGACCCACTTTTCAGAATGGCCCATGCCTGCTCTTGCTTGGAGGGTGCAATGCCTTGCTACCTGTGGTACGAGCGTATAGCATCTTACTGTAATCCAGCAGACCTTCCTTCCAGAAGACGAGTTGCCGAGGCGTGCCAGAAGTGGAACTTGGTTTTCGGTGGAGACGTAAGTTTACCAGCAGAGCTGTATACTTCCATCTTGGATGGATCACCTTTTCCTAGAGTAGAATGGGATGGCTGTGAAGCAAAATGGATCCTCACACCACGGGGGAAACACAGGGATCCAATTGGCTGAGGTCTCTTAGAGACAAACCAGTCATAGGAGACATATCGCTGTGACAAGGGTGACTTAAGCAAATCCCGACAGTCACTGTGAACCGTGTGATTTCTCCCCCGACTCTGCAAGCAAAAGTGTGATCCGTGCGGCAGCTCGTTTGTCCACCCGAGTGCATTCATTTGTTTTATTTAAATTTTTAAGTGGAAGCTTTTAACCAGCATTTCCTATTACGCGCTGTGTAACTTGGAAGTTGCTTCTAAACGGCCTTGGGGGTTGGGAAGACGTAGGTGAATCATGGGAACCATGAAAACCTTGTCTTTACTGCCCAGCGTAGGAACGAAGCGCACAAGGTCGTTTAAAAAAAAACACAAACCCAACTGCGGAGAACTTCCTCAGAATCTTGTTTTGTGTTTACTTGTATCATAGCTTTCATAGAAACATCTTGATGACATGTCGGATGATTTGTTCTTGTGCATTTTACATCTCAAAACTTAGGGATGTGGTGGGCGGGTTCACACAGAAATTTTATGTGAAATTCCCATAGTTTTTGACCCACCCAAACTGCCTCTTCGAGTCACCCACCCTCAAAACTATGGGGGAAACACAGGGATCCAATTGGCTGAGTTCCTTAGAGACAAACCAGTCATAGGAGACATATCGCTGTGACAAGGGTGACTTAAGCAAATCCCGACAGTCACTGTGAACCGTGTGATTTCTCCCCCGACTCTGCAAGCAAAAGTGTGATCCGTGCGGCAGCTCGTTTGTCCACCCGAGTGCATTCAATTGTTTTATTTAAATTTTTAAGTGGAAGCTTTTAACCAGCATTTCCTATTACGCGCTGTGTAACTTGGAAGTTGCTTCTAAACGGCCTTGGGGGTTGGGAAGACGATTCTGTATTGAGGGTTCCGGTAGAAAACAGTTGGACGCCTCCATTAAAAGCAGCCTCCTTCTTTTGAGGGACAGGGTCCTCTCGGCGCCGCCGATTTCAATTGGCAGGCCTCTTCGTGACACATGGATAATCTTCACAGATGGAGCTTGCAATCCCGAACAGCGTTGCGGAAGTGTTGGCGGTCTTATTATTTCTCCCCTTGGAACCTGCATTGCATTCTTCAGTTCGGTGGTTCCTGCAGACATCACCGAAGAACTCTTCAAGTTGTCCGGCAACCCCATCCATGAACTTGAAGTCCTCCCGGTTTTCATAGCATGTTTGGAATGGGGTGACCGTTTCGAAGGGTCGCTTGTGGTGTATTACATAGATAATGAGTCATCGAGAATGGCTTATGTGAGAGGGAGCGGAGAGACTCATTTTGCCACGCACCTCATCAGTGACTTCGTGCAACTGGAATCTCAAAGACAGCACAAGAGCTGGTTCGGTCGATGCCCCAGCCATAGCAATCCGTCAGATGGAGCAAGCCGACTCGACTTAGAGTGGTTCAAAGACAAAGGTGCCAGCCAAACCACCTTAGACTGGGAGCGGCTGAAGCATCACCTTGGACTAAAAGGGGAGACGGCGGAAAGGCGATGACATTGCCCCATCTGCGGTGAAAAGTTGCTGTGCTGTTCTTGATTTTTCCTCACATGTCATTCAATCGGTCTCGAGCGTTTATCCGATCTTATTTTCAAACGATTTGATTTTTGATCGAGGTGGAATCGTTTTAAAATTTTGACGTGTGAAAGCAACAGCGTTTCATACATGACACGTCGTATGTGTCTACCTCACTTACACGTAAGCGTGTCCTCTACATAGTCGCTCTGCATACACACCTACGGGGTTTAGCTGAGCGGTATGTGTTATGTGTTTTGTGTGGTGTTGTGGAGTTGGAAATAAGTTGAGAGCTTCTTGAAAAGAAACTCGATTTTATTTCCTCATGCAACCTTGGTTTGTGTTTTAGGGTTTTGTTTTCGTTCTTAAACAAAACAACAACAAACACAAACCTCACCACACATGCACATATCAATTTATACTATGTCGTGACATTTCCAATCAAGGGTAGGGAGGGTGGGTGTCCCCAAAATTTTGACAAAAGACTTGTCCCACCCACACTCCGTGTCTCCCACCCTGTCTTTTGTTTAAGCCTAGCCCTAAGCCTAAGACGGCGGAAAGGCGATGACATTGCCCCATCTGCGGTGAAAAGTTGCTGTGCTGTTCTTGATTTTTCCTCACATGTCATGATAAACTCAACTTGTTTGATATATCAGTCTCATATGAAATCTTTTTGACGCTGTGTTGCGTGCTGTGCACCTTGCTAGCTCTGTCGCGTGGGGTCTTATTATGTTGACCCCTTATGGGAATCACTTGAAGTGACCATGGTCTCTGGATCTTATCTGGTGTGTTTTCTATCTGTTTGGTTTCTGTTTGATGGTTTCGATTTTGCCTGTATGACAACTGTGCTTGTCAATGGACCACTGCTGTATGATTGGATGTAGGGTCTTTGCGGTTTGGTGTGATAAACCTTGTGTTCGAATTGCCACAATCGAAACCTAAACAGTGAACACACCTGTCAACACTTCACAACTACAACTTGGGTCTTATCACTGTATATGATTTATGCAGCATTTGCCAATCCTGGCACCCAAGTTTTGAAACAATGGTCGCTCGCTTTCGAGCTTCCACAGCGGCACAGAAGGGCAACGCAGCCCTGATTAAGGACATTCCCCATTTTGGTCCATATTTTCTCTTGTGCCTGGCATTCATTTGTTTCTGCTTGGGTGTCTCATTTACCTTTTGGTATCTCCTTAATTTTGAGTAGAACAAGGGGGTATTTGGCTACTTGGCATTTGCTTTCGGTTAACTGTTGCAACAGTACTTTCACTGGGGCGTAGCATCCACTTGCCATGAACGACCTTGACATCCTGTGTGCTCGGAAGAGGTTTGTGAACGGCCAGCTCAAGCTGCCTTGGGAACAGCATTTTGCTGCTCAGGTTCTTGGACCCTCCACTGGGAAGAAATGGTCATTACTTGATGAGCCTTCTTCGGTCGGTTTTGGTGATTACATGCAACGTGCTAGCAGTGGGTCACAGCCGGATTACGTTCAACAGACTTCTGTACATCCTGGGGCATCCAGAAGGATTGCTGTGGCTGCATCGCTCAAGACAGATGATGAGCTGCTCTTCAAGTCTCTGGCAATGGTGAAATTTTTGCTGCTTATGGATCTAACTGCAACAAGCCTGGGGGACGTCTTAGCTGGCCTTGTCATGCAATTAGGAGGTGAAGAGACTGTCACCCAGGTGCTTCGTGACACATTTTCGAAGAGGGCGCCTAGCACTGTTTACAAGCGTGTGTCAGCTTTTTGGCGATACAGCAAGTGGGATCAGCAGTCTGGCAGGTGCAATCCATGGTATCTTTCAGAGCAGAAAATTTATGACTATCTGACATACCTACGGTCATCACGTGCTGCTGCCACATCAGGACAGTGTTTTCTGTCATCGCTTCTTTTCATGCATGAGCATGTGAGGATCAAGCATTTTGACAGGGCGTTTGTTACACCACGGGTCAAGGGCATTGAGCATGAGCTGCTTCTGAAGAAGAGGCCACTGCTTCAAGCGAGAGCCTTGTTTCTGGAAGAGGTGCAGGCGTTGGAAGCTTTTGTCATTAGCCCGAGTGAGGCCCACCTAGGCATTATTGCTGGATACTTGATGTGGTGCTTGGCCACCAGCAGCCGGTTCTCCGACAGCATGGGTGCAAGTGGCTTTAACGTTGATGAGGCTGTGCATTCAACAGTGGTCTCTGCAGGAACGTACAGGCACAAAACATCAGTGTCGGCAGCACAGAAAACTACGCTGCTTCCACTCCTGGGGCTTGGAAGATGGTTCGCCGATGAGTCTTGGGCGACCAGCTGGCTCCAGCTTATGGAGGAGGCTTTTGGGCAGGTGGAAGGACGTGGATTCCTCCTGCCGGCCTTTTCAGAGAAGAGCTTGCAGTGGTTGCCCCGCCGGATGTCATCGTCTGAGGGCACATTGTGGTTGAGGGACATCCTCACCGTGGCAGGACAGGGCCGTTGTGTTGAGTCCCTCACCACGCATTGCCTCAAGGTGACAAGGCTTGCCTGGTTTACAATCAGTGGGAAGTTCAGCATGGCTGAACGTCGCATTGCTGGGCACCACCTGGACAAGGAGCATCGATCAGCCCTGACGTATGGCAGGGATAACCACCTTGCCGTGCTCAAGAAGGAAGCCCTTTTGCTTCAGAAAATCAAAGCTGGAAGGTTCGACCCGGATGAGAGTCGTGCCCGCCACATTGACAGGGAGATCGAGGAGGTGCTGCGAGAGCATGTCAATGCTCAAGATGATGAGGACTCAGACTTCGACCATTTTGACGAGGTGGAAGATGGCGTTGACATTGCTGAAGATGCTGACCACCTTGGCCAGCCGATTCGTGACAATCCATTGGATCCTGATTTGATATATTGGCAGCACCACCTGTCTGGAACCTTGCACATTGAAAGCTTGCCGCCGAAGTTTGCATGTGGCCGTGCCACCAATGCCAACTACTCAGCTGTGTCTGGGAATGACCTGTTGAAGTGGCAGCTCTGCAGCCAATGCCGAGTGGCCCACTACGGTTCTTGAGAACCTGAGTCCTGGAAAAGCTGTGTCTTTGCGGACTGTCGGTCATGTGTTGAAGCTTCGGTTAGGTAGCAGGTGAAGGTCGTCAGCCATTTCGATTTGCAGATGTTGTCGGAACTTGCAGATGTTTCCTGAGTAAAGAAATCGTATTCAAAAACTTGGCAGATGTCGTTTAAATCATTTCATTTTTGAGACAAATGTCAATGCAATGACTGGTCGTGAAACAGCATTGGTGTCCACATCGGCAGTGTGGCAACTTTCATATGCATGTGAAGTTTTAGCTTTTCAAGAACCGTCCCACGGCGCGTGCATAGCAGCTCACTGAGTTTTGTGTGGTAGTGATGGCAACCCACATCAGTGACCTCATGTTCTACCAGGTCTGCAGCGCATTCTGGAGCTACATCAGATTGGACTTGCCGGGCGGATCCAAATGCAGGGAATTGGAAATGCTCAGAGAACATTTGAGGAATGTGCTGCTGATCCTAGGTCCTAGGAGTGGGGTTTAGTACCCATTGGGTCACCAAAGTCTGGACGGGCCTGACAATTGTCCTCAAGGCGCATGGCGATGGACTGGAGATGGCCTCACTCCAAAACGTCCTCCTCATGACAGACGTTGGTCCGGATTCCATCGGGGTTCCACCAGGCGCCCGATCCTTTTGGTCGCTAGCCTCTGCACCCAATCGGGAACATCTCCTGAAGGTGAACAGCCTGTGCCGCACCCTCATCGTGAACCTCTCGTACGGCCTGCCAAGTGAGAATCCGACGAACCAAGCGGACGAAATCTTTGGTGAACTTGACTCATTTCTCGGCAATACAGCCCTGGGATTGAATCAGTGAACAAGAGGTCTGTGGACCTGAAAAATTTGAATTTTTGAAGGCCGACAGTGCCTGTTAGATCTGTGGATCTGTGACATGAGGGCAAACACTGCCCTGGAGGCAAAAGGATGCCTGAGAGTGCGCTCTGGGAAGTCAATCTTGAATTTCTGGAATTCAGATACATTGATGTTGTTTTATCAACATGACACTCATTAACTTGGGCCATGTTCATGGACATGTGAGCTGGGCGTCTCATGTTGCCTTGTGTTGGCCATTGAATGCATTGATGTCACTTGTGCGACATGTCACTCATCAACCTGAGCCGTGCTCAGGGACACATGAGCTGATCGTTTCATGTTGCATGTTTGTGGCTCCAGAAAAAAAAATTTTTTTTCACTGACCGGCAAAGACGTGAGAGCATATCAATATTTTCATGTCAGATGTTTGCAACTTGACCCAGATGTAGAGACCTACAAATTGCTTAAGAATGTAGATCAGAATATGGGCACAGATAGATTCATTTGCTCAGGTTTGATGCAACACCCATGGCTACCGAAAGCAATGCTGCATTCAAAGCCCGTGCATTGGACTTGGGCCTGAGTGAGGAGAGGTTTGAACTGCTCATAGGAGCTGGGGTGAAAAACTTCGGACAATACGCCTTTATATGTCAGTATCAACCTGGAAGTTCAGACGAGTCCCCACTTTTGAAAGTTTTGGGAGAGATCTACACTGCTGATGTTGCCGGGGGTGAATTGACTGTAGGTGAGAGGTCCATCCTTAGAAGGTTGTACTTTGAAAGCCATACCACGGCAGTGCAAGAGATGAGGCTGCGCATCGAAAGGCAACCTGATGACACACCCAAATCCATTCCAATGGCAGAACGAATTGAGAGACTGAACGCCTTCAAAGAAAGTCATTGCCATCTCATTATGGATTACTCAACTGAACCATCTCACAAATTGGTTGACTTGGCTTGCCAACAGGCCGAAGCACAGGTTGTGTCCTACATAGAACTTAGCATGTGCACCAGCCGTGAATCTGAGATCACCCACCGGAAGAAAGAGACGCAGGTCTCAGTGGACCAATCAGGTATGCTCAAACTCACCAAGCAGGAGCGTGAGTTGAAAGCCGAAGCCACCGGCGATCTGAAGGTCCGTCAGTGCATGCAGCGGCGGGCGGTGGCCTATCACCTTGCCAACATCGCAACATATCAAGTTCTAGAGAAGTTCACAGCCAAGCTGTTTCATTACCTGTCGAAAGAGCCAATTGCCAGTTACAAGCCAGTCAGCATGCAGCAGATCATTCATGCTGACCGTGAACTCTGGATTCAGGTATCGCAGACAACCAGGGGCAAGATCTTGACATCGACTCCCAAGCCCATCGATGAGGCCATCGCAAAGCTGTCTGAGTCAACGGAAGTTTTGTATCATCTGTTGCCGTTACCTCAGAGCCATCAGCCGAAGCCAGCAGACAAGCCCAAGCCTGACCGATCGCGGTCTCCGAGACGGCCCAAAAACAAAGGTAAAGGGAAAAACAAGGGTGCAGGCAAAGGCTCCAAACCGGATTTGCCACCCAATTGTGTTGCAAAAGATGAGCAGGGCAGGAACATTTGCTTTGCCTATCAATGGGGCAAATGCCAACACCCAGGCCCACGATGCAGTCGAGGCATGCACTGTTGTTGGTTGTCAAAGTGCCATCAGTCGCATCCGTACACATCCTGCCCAAACAAGAAGCCATGACTAGGCGATTTGCCTGGTTTACCTGACAAGCCTGAAGCCATTTTGGTAGGGCCAGTTTTGCAGTTTTTGCAGTCGGAATCCACATGTACAGCTGTTGATTTCGCCTTGCCAGCAGCCGAGATGATTTTCCTAGAAGTTTTTGCAGGAAGGGCAACTCTAACGGCCGAAGTGCGTAAGTCCCTCAACCTTCAGTGTATAGCAATTGATCATAAGGTCAAACAGCCAAGAGCTAAGATAACCGTTTTAGACTTAACTTGTGCAGCCGACCAAGAGATCCTTTTTAACATGTGCATGCATGCCAATGTAGCCGCTGCGCATTTTGCGCCAGTATGCGGTACTGCAAGCAAAGCCAGGGAACGGCCAATGCCTGAAAGCTACAAGGGGAAGCCGCTATCCCCTCTGAGGTCTGACCAGCAACCTCTAGGCCTGGATTCCCTGGTAGGACAGGATCGTGACAGAGTAAATGCAGCCAATATCCTTTATGCAGTGACAGTCGTAGCATCAATCCTTTTGATTTCCCGCAATGCCATTGTCTCCATTGAAAACCCCAAAAACAGCTACTTTTGGGCCATTGCCAGGCTCATTGCAGCATGCTTGGAAAATGGAGCTTTATGGGATAATCTTCATGATATTACCTTTGCTAACTGCATGTTTGGATCAACACGGAAAAAGAAAACTACCTGGAAATCCACACCGGGAGTGTTTCAAGCCTTACAGAAAGAATGTGATGGCCAACATCCTCATGAGTCTTGGACCCCACAAATCGGTTCAAATGGCCAGGTCCTCAAGATGCCAACAGCGGAAGAAGCGGCATACACGCCCGAACTCGCCAAAGCAGTTGCAGCCTGCCTTGGTCCAGAGCTGTTAAGCCGTGGGGTCCAATTTCCGAATGACATCCATACAGCGGCCAACCCACGGAAAGTCATCCGAGCAGAACAGTTCCGCTTGCCACAACTCATTTCTGAGTTCTTTGCAATCACCGATTTTCCAGTACCTAGTTGTGACTCCAAACAAATTCCAATGCCCATAACCTTGGATCATGGGGGTGATTTGAATCCTGACCAGGTGGATTGGCATGCAAATATACATACCTTGCAACAGCAGCCTTACACCATGAGAGTTTTCAAAAACAAGCCGGCGCCAGGTGATTTGGTGTTTGGCCTTTTTAGATCCCCCAAAAATTTCCTAGCTTGTGCCGAAAATATAATGCATCCGATTGACTTTTCGTGCCCCTTGCCAGATGAGCTTATCGTAACCTTGTCTCGGGTACTTCAGCTGGGCCCAGCTGGAGTGATTGCTCACCGAGCTGGTCGTGCCAAAGAACTGGTAGGACTGTTAAAGTCTATGGAAGCAGACAATGCGGCCTTCTTGGATTCCTTGCCGGCAACACCAAAGAAAATCTTGCGGGGAAAGCGCATGGCCTTGTGGAAGCACTTGTCCGAAAAATATGAATGCCCCGATGTAGGGATAATCGATGAGATAGCCCAGGGATGTCCCTTAACCGGCCTAGGTGTGCATTCTAAGCTGTTCCCAGCTGGATTTCAACCAGCCCAGAGACCAGCAGACCACTTAAAGCGACAGCATGTGTGGTTGAGACATCAAGTTCTTGGCAAGTGCCGGTCGTCTGGCAACCTGGAGGTGGATCAGGAGTGTTGGGATCAGACCTTGTCCGAAGTCAAAGATGGTTGGATGGAGGGGCCGTTTGAGTCAGCTAGTGCAGTGACGCAGCATCTTGGATCTGACACCTGGTTGTGCAGCCGGAGATTTCCGTTAGTTCAAGGTGATAAAGTCCGATTGATCGATGACGCAAAAGAGAGCCAGATCAACACTGCATACTATGCCACAAACAAGTTGGCGCTCCAGGACGTCGACTGCCTGGTATCTTTGGTTATGCAGATGTGCAGGTGCTTTGTTCAGCGCCGTGAATTTGCGATGAGGCTGAGTGATGGGTCGACCGTTTCCGGCAGAGTGGCTCCTGACTGGGGACCCGAAGTGAGCGTTCTTGGCAGGACGCTTGACCTTTCGTCTGCATATAAGCAGTTGCCCACTAGTGACCAGGAGCCCTGGTCCCGCATCATTGTGGTGCATTGCCCGGTTGACAATAAGCCCAAATTCTTTGTAAGCTTAGTACTCCTCTTTGGCTGCACGGCCTCCGTGTATTTCTTCAACAGGGCCTCAAAAAACTTGTGGTGGCTCTTTCAGAAAATGTTCATGGTAATAGGCACTACCTATTATGATGACTATCCCACGGTTGAGCCAGAAGCCACTGCTGGATCAGCCCGTGCGTGTCAGGAGCTTCTCTTGACGAGCCTTGGTTGGAAGTTTGCCAAAGAGGGGAAAAAGGCCTTAGACTTCTCGCAGGTGTTCGATGTGCTTGGGATAAGCCTTGACTTGTCTGGTTGCAATAAAGGAAACTTTTCTATCAACAACAAAGCCAGCAGGGTTGAAAAGATCCTTTCGCAGGTCGACCAGTTTGTCACTAGGGGCTCCGTGACCTCAGCTGAGGCTGCCCAAGTGCATGGCATTCTTAACTTTGCTCAGGGCCAGTACTTGGGCCGAGTCTTGCAACCTGCAATGCGGTTTTTCCAAAGAATTTCCTTGCAAGGGTGGAACGCAAGCCTGAAGTCGGAGCTGGCTCAGGTGGCCACGTTCCTTGCCACTGCCTTGCTGTGCGGCCCACCCAGGGTCCTTAACATTTCGGATGCACTCACACCTGTTCTTCTTTTCACCGACGGTGCCTGCGAGCCGGCAGGGCATGGTTTCGAGGTAGGTGCTGGACTAGTCATCCGAGATCCTGTGACTGGCCTTTTTCGAGTTCATGAGACCCCCATAGCTCAAGAAGTCATAGACACTTGGGCCGCCACAGGCAAGAACCAAGTCATTGCTGCATGTGAACTGTACCCGATCCTCATTGCCTGGCTGCACTATGGTAAGGTCTTCCATAACCGCAGAGTAATAGTTTTCATCGACAACTCCTCTGTGAAGACGGCTGCTGCTAAAGGTGCGTCCAAGCAAGTAGAGCTCTTTGCGTTGTTGTCCTTGATATGCCTGGAACAATCCAGACACCCCACCTTGGTCTGGTATACACGTGTGCCATCAAAAAGCAATTGCGCAGACGGCCCCAGCCGACAAAATGCCAAGTCCACCGCCCTTGACCTTGGGGCACAACTTGGCGAGCCGCTTGGTCTGAGTGGGCCGTTGCTCCAATTTCTTGAAGGTACATTGTCGTACCCCGTGTTGATGAAGAAGTTGGCTGAGGTTTGGAACAAGGGGGAAGGAGCTGCGACTCCATGAATACCAAAACAAAGAACTAAGACCGGTGTGTCTGGATAATGGTATGTGTTCTCTCGAACGTGCCTGTGTCTGGCACTCCACTCCCCGCTGGCCAAATGGCCCAACAACCTGACAGCCAATTAATCAACGCGGCAAAAAGAGAATTATCAAGACCGAGTGAAGCCATTTCGTTCTGCACTATTTTAACGTTTTGTAATAAAACTTACTTTGAAGAACGCGATCGTATATACTATATCTGGAAGGTCACCAGGTATGAAGGTATATATATGATATGGCGACGTTGCGTTTGCAAACTGTGGTTTGTCCCGTCCAAAAAGTTTCATGAGACGATAAACTCAACTTGTTTGATATATCAGTCTCGTATGAAATCTTTTTGACGCTGTGTTGCGTGCTGTGCACCTTGCTAGCTCTGTCGCGTGGGGTCTTATTATGTTGACCCCTTATGGGAATCACTTGAAGTGACCATGGTCTCTGGATCTTATCTGGTGTGTTTTCTATCTGTTTGGTTTCTGTTTGATGGTTTCGATTTTGCCTGTATGACAACTGTGCTTGTCAATGGACCACTGCTGTATGATTGGATGTAGGGTCTTTGCGGTTTGGTGTGATAAACCTTGTGTTCGAATTGCCACAATCGAAACCTAAACAGTGAACACACCTGTCAACACTTCACAACTACAACTTGGGTCTTATCACTGTATATGATTTATGCAGCATTTGCCAATCCTGGCACCCAAGTTTTGAAACACCCACCCTCCCAACCCTGGGGGAAGGAGCTGCGACTCCATGAATACCAAAACAAAGAACTAAGACCGGTGTGTCTGGATAATGGTATGTGTTCTCTCGAACGTGCCTGTGTCTGGCACTCCACTCCCCGCTGGCCAAATGGCCCAACAACCTGACAGCCAATTAATCAACGCGGCAAAAAGAGAATTATCAAGACCGAGTGAAGCCATTTCGTTCTGCACTATTTTAACGTTTTGTAATAAAACTTACTTTGAAGAACGCGATCGTATATACTATCTGGAAGGTCACCAGGTATGAAGGTATATATATGATATGGCGACGTTGCGTTTGCAAACTGTGGTTTGTCCCGTCCAAAAAGTTTCATGAGACTCAATCGGTCTCGAGCGTTTATCCGAACTTATTTTCAAACGATTTGATTTTTGATCGAGGTGGAATCGTTTTAAAATTTTGACGTGTGAAAGCAACAGCGTTTCATACATGACACGTCGTATGTGTCTACCTCACTTACACGTAAGCGTGTCCTCTACATAGTCGCTCTGCATACACACCTACGGGGTTTAGCTGAGCGGTATGTGTTATGTGTTTTGTGTGGTGTTGTGGAGTTGGAAATAATTATTTAAAACCAAATGCCCAGTAATAAGATGTTGTTTATAGAACCTGTGCCTCTTGGAACCTGGCAGTCTTCTGTTCTTATCAGGGTGAAACTTTTGATGTTTCAGGTTGACGTGCGGTTCTTTCGGCAAGGATCTGTTCTTATCGGTGTGACATCTTTGTTGTACATGTGGGCATTTTGGTCTCAAGTGGCATCCCCCACAAAATTTTGTTCACCCACCCAAAACGGTGGTCATTTCCACGTTTTTTTCCCAGCCCAGTGAACAAAAGGGGATGCCTAACCCTACCGTTATTACAACGGATCTCGAAGCAGCGTTCCCCACAGACGAAAAAAGGAGTTGCGTTTGATTTCCTCGTTCGTCGGCATTCAGTGTGGTTTCCAAGTTTTGCACGTGTATGTATATTTGTACTTATATATAAGTACGGAATAATATACATACACTTTTCCATATGGTTTGTTTAAATTTTAATTTGGTTGTGTTGCAGTAACGCGTAGTCGCCCGGTAGTTTCCAGCTTTCCCTTTGAAACCTATGGGAATAAGGAATGAAATGACTAATGAAACGAATGAAAATGAATGAAACGAATGAAACGAATGAAACACATGAAAAGAAGCAAACAAATGAAGCGAATGACATGAATGAAACGAATGAAGCGAATGCAACAAAAGAAATGAATGGAATGAATGAAATGAACGAAAAACTTGAAATCATTGAAATGACTGAATTGAATGAATTGAAAGAAATGAGCCAAATACATGAAATGAATGAAATGAATGAATGGAATGAAATGAATGAAGCGAATGAATTGAATAAAACACATGAAAGGAGTGAAATAAATGAAAGGAATGAAACAAAAGAAACACATGAAATGAATGAAATGACTGAAATGAGCGAAAGGAATGACATGATTTCAATGAGTGAAATGAGTAAACTGAATGAAAACAAAATGAAATGACTGAAATAACTGAAATCTTTCAAATGAATGAAACAAATGAAACGAATGAAACAAAAGACATGAATGAAATGAATGAAATGAATGAAATGAAAGAATTGCACGACATGAAAGAAATGACATGAATGAAAGCAATGAAGGGAATGAAATAACTGAAACCAATGAAAGGAATGAAATGATTGAAAGGCTTGAAATGAATGAAATGAATGAAATCACTGAAATGAATGACATGACTGAAATGAATGAAAGGAATGAAATGCATGAAATGAATGAAACGAATGAAAAGACTGAAGCGAATGAAAACATGAAAGGAATGAAACGAGTGAAGCGAACGAACTAAGTAAAATTGAAAGCAATGAATGAAGTAAACGAAATGAATGAAAATTGTGAAAGAACTGAAATTACTGAAATGGGAGAAATGAATGAAACAAATGAAGGGAATGAAACGAATGACATGATTAAAATGAATGAAGTGCATGAAGCGAATGAAACACATGAAATGAACTCAATGAATGAAATGAATCAAACGAATGAACTGAATGAAAAGAACGAAATGATGAAATGAATGAAAGAAATCAAATGACTGAAATGAGTGAAATGATTGAAACCCATGAACGAAATGAAATGAATGAAACGAATGAAACAAATGACATGAAGGAAATGAATGACATGACCGAGATAAATGAAATGAATGCAGCGAATGACATGAATGAAATGAATGAAATGAATGAAATGAAACAGATGAATGAAACAAATGAAACACTGAAATGAGTGAAATTAATGGAATGAAACAAATGAATGAAATGAATGAAATGAATGAAATGAATGAAATGAATGAAATGATTGAAATGAATGAAATGAATGAAATGAATGAAATGAATGAAATTCATGAAACGCATGAAATGAGTGAGATGAATGAAACGAATGAACCAAATAAAACGAATGAAATGAAATGACTGAAGCGAAAAAAGAATTCAAATGAAGGATGAAACGAATGAAGCGAATAAAAGCAATTAATGAAATGAATAAAATGACGAAATGAATGACATGAATGAAATGAACGAAATGATTGAAACAAATGAAATCAATGAAACGAATGAAATGAAAAAAGAATGACATGAATGAATCGATGAAAGGAGTGAAATGAATGGAATGATACACATGAATGAAACGAATGAAATGAAAACAATGAATGAAGTGAATGAAACGATAAAAGGAGTGAAATGAATGGAATGATACACATGAACGAAATGAATGAAATTAATGAAACGGATAAAATGAATGAAATGAATGAAGCGAATGAAAACAATGAAGCAAATGTAACGAATGAAGCAAATGGAACGAATGAAAGGAATGAAACGAATGAAATGAACGAAATGAACGAAATGAATGAAATGAATGAAACGAATGAACCGAACAAAATGAACGAAGCGGAAAAAATGAGTGAAATAAATGAAATTCATGAAACGAATGAAGCGAATAAAAGCAATGAAATGAACGAAATGAATGACATGAACGAAATGAATGAAATGATTGAGATGGTTGAAATGAGCGTATTTTCTGACATAATTGAAATGGCTGAAATGAAATGAAATCAAATGAAATGATTTGAAATGAATGACATGAATGCAACGATCGAAACGAATAAAGTGTACGAAATGAATGAAATGTAGCAAATGACATGGAATGCAATGAAATGAGATGGCATGAAATGAATGAAGCGAATGAACCAAATGAACCGAATGAAATGAATGAATTGAACAAAATCAACGACAAAAATGAAAGGAATGAAACGCATGAAATGAATGAAACGAATGAAATGAATGAACCGAATAAAACGAATGACATGAATGAAATGATTGAAATGAACGAAATGAATGAAATAACTGAAACGAGTGAAACGACTGAAATGAATGAAACAAATGAAAGGAATGACATGAATGAAATGAATGACATGAATGAAAGGAATGAAATGATTGAAATGAAGGAAATTAATGAAATGCATGAAATGAATGAAATGAATGAAACGAATGAAACGAATGAAACGAATATAGTGAATGAAATGAATGCAATGACTGAAACAAGTGAAGCGAATAATATGAATGAAACGAATGAAGCGAATGACATGCATGAAATGAATAACATGAATGACAGGAATGAAATGATTGAAATGAGGAAAGTCATGAAATGCATGAAATGAATGAAATGAATGAAATGATTGAAACGAATGAAAGGAATGAAACTAATGAAACGAATTGCATGACTGAAGTGAATGAAATGAAGGAAATGAATGAAATGACTGAAATGCACGAAATGAATGAAACGGATGAAACGAATAAAAGTAATGAAATGAACGACATGAACGAAATGAACGAAATGAATGGCATGAATGAAATGAATGAAATGACTGCAATGAATGAGAAAACCGAAATGAATGAAATCAAAGACCAAACCCGCGGACCACACTTTGTGCGAGCCTGCTCAATTGAAACGCATGTCAAGATTTCACAAGAGCCACTTCATACGGAAAATTACAGGAAAAATACCCAGAAGGCGGACACACACACACACACTGTGCGCGAGCCTGCGCAGTCGAAACGCATGTCAAGATTTTATACGCGACGCTTTATACGAAAATTAACAGGTAACAGGCCGCAGAAGAGAGTGACCACCCTGATCAAGCACCAACCTTCGCATCTACCGTCAGAACCCCTCAGTGTAGACACACTGTTTGGGGAGGAATGTTTTTACATTCTAGCTGCCAAATAAATTCCGACCTTCAACCTAACATTCTATCTAACACTAACATATTTCCTCTAACACATATTCCAGTTTTATCACCTACTCTGTCTACCATTTTTCAACATTCTATCTAACATATATGCTATCTACCTAACATTTCTGCGGTCATACTATCGCATATTTCATTTGAGATTTCTTACAGCTTACAGAATTTTAACATGTCCCATTTAGCGCTTACTGTAACTAATATCCGGAACCAAGTACCTAGGCCCACCAGCCGAGCCAGCGTGCCAGCCAGCCAACTAGCCAAGCAGCCAGCCAGCCGGCCGGCCGGCCAAAACCTTAGCCAATTGGAGTTACAGCCAGCTGTCAGCCGGCCGGCCGGCCGGCCAAGACCTTAGGCACAGCCAGACAGCCAGCCAGCCAGCCAGCCAACGAAGCAGCCGGCCGGCCGGCCGGCCAGCCAAAAACCCGGCCGGCCGGCCGGCCAAAACCTAAACTGAGTCCGGCCGGCCGGACGTAGCTCATACACACGCCTAGCCGGCCGGCTGGCCGGCCGGCCGGAATCAACACAGACTGGCCGGCCGGCCGGGAAAGAAATGGCAGGCCGAGTTCCCCGCGCAGTCCCTTTTTGACCGACCTTTATTAGTCGGTTGCAATGCCGAGGCCAGCTGCGGGTTTTCACCGCCTATGTAATTTATTACGAACCACTTGTAAAGGACCGTGCCTTAGAGCAATGACGGTGAAACCTGAGGGAAAAAACACATTTGCCTTCAAACAACAGTAATTTGCATTTGCCTTTTCCTTCACTTCTTTGTTTGGCGACCTCCTGTTGCCTGCTTGCAATGCATCAACTCTTTACTTTCCCTTATTGTCACATTTGCTGTGCGGTAGAGTGGTAGAGCATCTCTTCATGTTTCCAGTGCTTTAATGCAGGATCACGTGCCAGGTTGGAAGGTCCAAAACCTCATTTAATGCAGTCATATGGCAATGTCCATTTTTCAATTTGGAAAGTCATGACATGAATTAGTAGTGAGCAGGTTGTCATCATCAATTGTTGCATACTGCACCAAAAAAATGTTGGATGCGGCATTTTGGTAACTTTGATTTAATTGTTGTTTTTTCGATTGAACAGATACGGTCATTCAACATTCTTAGCTTTAGAATTTGTGTGATATTTTGGAACAACGTAAATGTCGCGTTTTGTCAGCTTCTGTTGTTGCAATCATTTGGGCCTGTTTGTTTTGGAAACAATTCATGGGCCAATTCATTGACCAACTCGTGTCACCCAACATGCATGTTGGCTACCAAAATAATGGTCCAGATCCAACTTAAAAAATAACATGGCATCACACAAAAATCCAAGAAACAATGTTCCCATATCTTGTTCGGTTGCTGATGTGCGAAACAAACCCAAATTTTCAGTTTGCTAATCAAACAAATTCGGTCGAAACAACATTGATTTTGGTCACGCCATTGATCCCATATGTTATATACCGCTGCAGTTGTTTAAAATGCAAACGGCTCACATGAGAGATGCGCTGGCAAACAGATTTTGATAACCTTTTCATGCATTTGTTTCAAAAAAACCACTACATCAGCCAACAACACGTGGAAACAAAACATTTGATTTCAGAAAACATGGCAGATTCTACGCAATAAACAAATTGTCGGATGCACAACAACATGTTTGCAATTTTTCATCGGACAGAGTACAACCATAGGTTCATGCCTGTCAAACAAGAAATATTGGAACAGATTCAGCATGCAGTGGTCCCACCCTTAGTTTCGCGAGTTATTATTATTTTTTTTCCCACAACAATTGTTGGTGTATGATGAGGCCAACGATGCAACTGGCGAGCCAATCTTGCAGTGGGCAGACGACATGCAACAGGCGGTGGAAGACTCCTGTTTTGTTCTGACCTTCAAAACCAGTTTTGTTTTTTTATATATCATATTATATTATATTATATTTTATTTATATTTTATTTTATTTTATTATATTTTATTATATTAAATTTCATTATACTATATTAAATTAAAATAAATTATAGACAAATATGTGGTAAACCGAAAAAACTAATAATAAACGATCCTTGACATTGCTATAAATGAATGGTAGAAATTATCCCCAACTGATATTTTTATTATTTGGTTTACCACATTGCCCTTATTGCACAATGGTCACTGACTACTTGCGCATATATTTTTTCTAATCCCTTATAAATATTTCGTCTAATCGTTTATTAAGGTTTTAATTTTGCTAAGGAACATTTTCGATTTCCATCCCAGGCAAGCGAGCAAGCAAACAAGCAAGCAAAACCACCCTAAACCAACCCAAAATAAACACCGTAAACCTACCCCAAGCAACCCCCAAAGCACCCTTGAATAAACAGCCTGAACCAACCCCAAAGGAACACCTTAAACCAACCCAAAATAAACCCAAGACCAACCCTTAAAAGGCACCTTAAAGCACTAAATCAACCCCAAATACACCATAAACAGTTTGAACCAACCTTAAATAAACACCTTGAACCAACCCTAAATAAACCCAAAACCAACCCTTCAAAGTCACGTTAAATCAGCAAAGCAAACCTAAATACACAATAAACCCCAATTTATTCCCTCAAACCCTTAAACAAAATTAAACAAACACTCAATGAACCTGCCTTTAATCTTTAAACCAACCCTAAACAGTCCTTAAACCAACCCTAAACAGTCCTTAAACCAACCCTAAATGATCCTTAAACCAACTTTAAACAAAACCCTAAATAGAACTCCAAAAATACACCCGCAAGAGACCCCAAACAGTGTGTGTGTGTGTGAGGATAATGTGTGAAAATGTTGAGGATGATGATGATGATGATGATGTTGAGGATGAGGTGGAGGATGAGGATGACAATGCGGAAGATGAAGTGGAGGATAAAACAAACCCTCAAACAAGCTGACAGCGCCTTGAGGATGGCGTGCGTTTACTGGTTTTCTGAAATAGTGAAAAAAATGGATCGTGCACAAAACCTATTGTTTTTGATAGTTCAGATTGAAGTTTATTGGTTTCAGGGGCTGAAAGCCATGGAAAGGGGCACTTTAGGCACTTTTTTCTGCCTCGGCTGCGCGTGGGTTACATTTTTTTAAGCTTGGAAATTGGAACAGAGTCTTCCGAAGCCCTAAGCATCAAGTACGTGTGCACATGCAGGCAAACATCCAGTAGCGTAGCATCAACTTCGTGAGCAGTAGCGTAGCATCAGAACGCTTTTAGCCCCCACTCCACCCCCACACCGCACGCCATCCACGACGCGCTGTCATCTAAAACAACCTTAAAACCAACCCTAAACTAACCCTAAAACCAACCCTAAACAAACCAACCCTAAACACACCAACTCTAAAAACGATACATAAACTTTAAACCAATCCTAAATAAGCTTGGAATATCCCCGAAAGAAAAGTAATCAACCAAATCGAAATAGATAAAAAACTGTGATGCAGGGTTCACTGGATGATGCAGGAGCCAGTCAACATGGATAAATCCCAGCGTTTTTGCAATTAGAAGATTGTAGCTTTCACAAGGAGAAAAACACTTGTGCGTGATTAGGTTTCAATATGTTTCAATATTCCTCGCACGAATCACGCGTCTCCATTGCATTCCATTGCCTAACGTACCCATGGCCTGTGGCTGTGCAATCAGGAGACCCATCACGAGAGCAAGATGGCGGCAGCATCAAGGATTGTAAATGAATGAGTGCAAAGTCGTGCAAGTACATTACTTTCTCACTCTTGCGCATTTCATGGCATTATTGGCGTTTTTGGAATCAACCTCGGTTTGAACGAATTGTTGTTTGTTTGATCCCTGAGGATACACATGCACAAACAGGTGCATGATGGTTGCCGCGAAGCATCAGAAGAGTGGGAGAAAGCTGAGATGGCTTTGTCACAGGTGTTGAAATCCAAAAAACGCATGAAGGACCGACTGCCAAATGTGGTTCGATTTTCATGTGTTCATAGAGCGAAAAAATGCCTCCATCATTTTCGACAAACCAGTAAAACATAGTAAAACTCAATCCTGAAGGATCCACATGGTCAATTTCGCTTGCCGGCTTTTGATGGAGAGAAACCTCACACTGCACCCAGTGCTGAACTGTCTGGCCTTGAAACTTGGCACTTTCAAATTGTTTTTGAATTGCCAGTTGCCAGTTTTTTTTTGTGTCATTTCCAGAAAATTCAAGAAACATGTATCAAAAAGTCCTTCGATGCCTGGCTGCCTTGCCTAGGACTCGGAGGAGCGGTCCCGCAACCTCTCTCAGACCAGATCTGCAGCCGTCCTCGAACGTGCGCGTTTGATGCGATGCAGGGCGGCCGAGGCCAGCAAAAAGCTGAAGGACCACGCCAAGCGACGATTGTAGGACGCTTAGCATTTGCAAAAAATGGTGTATGGCATCATATGGCAGATGCTACAGCTGCATTCTGAATGGGGAAGAGTTGAACATGGTGGCAATTTCATGTCCATGGCTGGCTCTGAGGCGTGTAAAGATTTCAGAAATCCTGAGAGAAGTGCATCGACGTCAAAACTTAAGGCTGGGCCATATTTGGACAGTTCGAGCAACAAAACAATTCTGTCACGTTTTTTTCCTTCAAATTCCAGACATTGTCGATTGATCCAAAGTCCTGCCAGTTGTGCTAGAAAATCAGGCGGCACCAGGAAAAAGTTTGGACCTTTCGAGAGGAAAGACATAAGATCGGCCGTGGTCCGGCTGCATCCATCGGTGATGCTGATGACTTTGCCCTGGGTCTCGGTGCCGATGAGTTCGAGGATGCGACACCTCGTAGGCGTTGCATTCTGGACTCGCTGTCCTTGGAGGCAGGGCCTTGCTGTCAATTGTGGCACTGGTGATCATGTGACCAACATGTACATGTGAGTCATACATACACTATATTACTTAATATATCTTCATATTTTATGCAATAATATACGTATATATATATATATTAAACTTTATATTATATACATTATATTTGCAACATGTGCATGTATATGACATGTATACAGTATATCATTACATGCATATTTGACATGTTTTCGCAAAATTTGGCCAGGAACTTGACCTCGTTAGATCAAATCCTCGGTGGTATTTGGAGTCCATGGACTCAGATTTCGAGGAGCGATGACTTGTTGAGTTGTTTAAATCTGGTTTAAATCTGCATGAAGTTGCGACGTGTTTTCATTTGTTTGGCACTTTTTGGGCATTTTGCACTGAATCACCATTTGTGCTAGGACTACGACATGTCCGGAAATCGCGAGCGGCTTATCGACTTCTTCACACCTGCCCGGAAGGCGAAGACAATCGATGTCGAATTCTTCTGCCTTATAGTGAGACTAAAGACAGGTGCAGGATCAACGTCAGGTAACATTTACTTAACATTTACTTAACCATTGATGCCCTCAGAGTCCAGCTCTTGGACTCTTGGACCATTCGAGAATTTTCGACAATTCGATTCAACTTCTGAGGACAAAAACGTGTCCATTGAATGCTACGCCCAGCGGTTGCGTGCTAGACTAGCTGCTGCTGAAGCACAGGAGCTTTGGATTTTCTTCATTTCGGGTGGACAGAATATTGGACAGCAGATCACTTGGGTTCGAATCATACTAAAAAGTGCCTTTGTTTGAAACAGCGCAACATGCGAAAAGATAAGACATCCGGTGAGGTGTATTGGTGGTTTTAATATCCTTTAATGGCCTTGCCATGATTCTTGATTTCTCAAGCTTGAGCATGACATGTTTGGTGCATCTAAGGATTTGCATGATTCTGTCCCCAGCCAGAAAAGAAGTTGGCAAGCGTTTGGCGAGTCCTCAGGCAAGGGTTATCCATCATTTCGAGCAGAAAATAGTTTGCTCGTCAGACCTTTCCTGTCCGGCTGCAGGTGGCTTTTCCCAGTCCTATTCAAGCCTTGGCCGTGCAGGAGAGGAACAACATTGAACTTTGCATTTCCACTTGACATGCGATACTTTCGGCATTGCATGGTGGTGCTTTGCTTCCAGGCTTTTCTGCTTTCCTTTTGTTCTGTGTTTGCTGAATTTCCTTGTTATTTGCTACCAGATTTCTGCTGATTTGAAGGAAGTGCTCAAACGAGCTTAATGCAAGCCAGCACGACAAGTTTACCGGCGGACATTTCACAGAAGTTTGGTTTCAGGGAACAAAAACAATGAAACTTGTAAATTCACCTGCAGTAAAACTCACCTGTATAGTACAGCATTACTTGACAGTTGCAGCGTCGGTTCAAAAGAACTGTTAGCTCAACGGTTGTTTGCAGTTTTGCCCTCTACTAGATTTGTGGCTGACCTGCTAAAATACAAGACTCTTCAAGTCCGCCATTGGTTTTATGTGTTGCTGCTTGCTTCGGATCCAAGCGAAAATGGTTAAAACTTCCCCCTGCAGTTTGTGTGGCTAAGGATGTCAACAGTTGCTAGCTTTGGACGTAGAGAGCCAATTCGAGATGACCGTGCCTCTCCAACGATGCAAAAGGTTTGGGAGAAGCGTCGCAGAAAGGAGGACAAAAAGAATCCAGTGGTTTGTCCTCATTCATTCCTCATTCACAAAATGCATGTTTTGGATTTTTGTGGGGTATACCGGTATACCCCAATTGTGAATCCCAAAAAGTGCGGAAGAGTTTCTGCTCTGCCGATTGTAGTCCCAGCACTTCAACTGCCATGAGAGGAGAGAGATGCACAGATCTTGGAATCTCGTCGTCTTGCGGCTGAAGAGCGCATGGTGAGAAATGCCTTCAACGTCATTTGAACCGCAATGTGATCCTGTTGCTTCGGAGGCATGATCCAGAAGTTTATATACAAGGCAATAAACCTGGGAGACTGTAGTGCACTTTCAGTACAAGTCTTACACGTTTCCTTCGAGGCTTTGGTTGGAACCTGACGACTGTCCTTGCTCTGCGGTTTAGGTGAGCCAGCAGATCCGCGACTATGAATCGACCCAATCGAAGTACAAGGAGTGGATTCATGTGCTTCCTGAAGCTTCTGATTGACGTTTTCTTTTTCTTGACACGACAATGCAGACAATGCAGGACGATTGGATCCAGATTTGTTGGACTTCTGTTTTTTTTCAGAGTGATTTAGGTCCGCTGGCTCCTGCAAAGTGGGTTCCTGAATCTATGATCACCTCTTTGCCAACAATTTGGTTGTGGTGATACCATATATGAATCATGTTGTTATCCTGGACTACAAAGATCTGGACCACAGAGATTGTGAGATTGTCATTTTGAGTCAAGTAGCATCAAGTAGGTATTTTTTTTTGGATGCTCCAACAGTTTGGTGGTGAGCTTCCCTGAATCTATCGGATGATCCCATTTCTGTTGGTTGAAGCGTCCAATTTAAGGAGCATCCAATATCTTGGGATCGGAATCTACCAACTCTTTCTGGTGGTGAACACAAATCCAACTCCTGAGTGCATCATCCAATTTTTTGAGATCACCGTTTTTTTTTTTCAGTTTTGAGTTCCAAAATCATCATTCTACTCTTTCCCAATCCTTTATCCAAGTTTTTCATGTTTTTTTCCATGAGAACCATCCAAGTTTTCGGTTTTTCCCATGGAAAAAAAAGCTGCCGGCCCTGAGTTTCTGTGAGGAGCTTCATCAGCTCCGGATGGCAGAGGCCTTGGAGCGCAAGGCTGCACAAGATGCTCAGGTCGGGGGATTTTGATGGTGATTCATTTTATGGATATTAATGGATATGAATGGGGATATTAATGGGATTTTCACATGACCTGATGATTTTAATGGATGCTACTGGTGATTAATGATTATTTTGCTGGTGATTCATGGTGATATTCATGGTGATGAAGTGCTTACAATTATTTATCATGGGCGAATTATGAGAATAATGGTAATGCTAATGCGATGAATGGCATTAATGGGCTTATGAGGAATTTTTTGTGAGTTATTAGTGACGACGATGACGACGACGACAACAACAACGACGACGAGTATCATTATTGCATATTGTATTGTTTTCTGGATATAAGATGATGATGTTATTTTCTTCTTTGTGGGGATTTGCAGTTATTATTGTGTGATTAAAGAAAGAAAGGTAATGTCTATTAAGACAGACAGATTCTTAGATGATCAGTTGGGATCAACATTTGAGGTGCGGACTGCAAATTGTGGTGTGTTTTTTTGTGTTTTGTACCAAACAATAGTTATTGTTGACATTTGTTGACGAGATGAATTAGAGTGAAGTGTTGCGGATATTTTCCTGATATTTTTCATTGCCTTCCATTTAAAATCACTTTTTGGTGATTGAAGCAACCTTAATCCCATCCCCCTAACATTAAATGTCACCTAGAATACGTGAGCCCAATTGATGAATACATCAATCCAATATGTTACAATTCCAAAGCAGTTTTTTGTTGGGTTTCTCCACTGGTTTTTCAGGGGAGCCAGATCTCGGCGATCTCGGCGATCTCGGCGATCTCATGGCTATGCAGGAACGGCTGGCGGTGCTCGATGAGGTGAAGCTTCGCAAGATGCGGCGGGCCTTGGACATTGCAGACGAACAGCTGGAGCTCAAAAGGGACCGGGTCAGCGATGCCTTGAAGGCGCTGCGGGTCAGCGATGGTCAGCGAACCATACCATGGATGCCCCTGCTTTCGATACCCCTGGTTGATGATGTGTCAAAAGGGGTTATGTTTTACAATTTTGTTGGATTGTTATCATAATCCATTATCAGATGGGAATCCATCTTAACCAAGCAGTTAACAAGTGCTTTGCTTAGTGAAGTTTCCTCTGCGACATGCCTCCTCGAAGGTTTGGCAAGCTAGTGTTCGCCGGTGCCGACGCCATGCAATAGCTGAGGACTGGAAAACTTGAAGTAGATATGTAAGTTGAGTAGTCGAGAACCAGGGCAGATGCCATGGACCTGTGATCGATGCGTGACAACAGCTTCAGCAAACTCACATTTCTGGCATGTCTTTGACCCCTTCGACAGGAACGGAAGGCCAAAGCCAACTTGGAATCTAGGCAAGAAGCTTACCTGGCTCGGCTGACCAAGGCGCATCTTAACGATGAAGTGGGGAGGTTTTCTCTGAAATATTTGCCATCAGGATTGCACACTTCATTTGCAGGCTGGCAAGTTCAGAAGCGAGAAGATGGAGACGCAAGCGCAAAAGAACGACAAGCTCAAGTCCAGGTGTTTCAAGTTTATATAGTTTATGTACTATGGGGGAAGCATGGGGGAAGCAAGCACAGCATTGAATTGGAAGCCGAGCTGAGCTTGTGCTGGAGCCATCCGGGGAAAAGCCGTAAAACCCCCGGCTTTGAAAAGGATGGATTTTGGAGGATTTTGGTGTCCCAGGATTCAAGTCTCACTGATGCAGCAGTTGGATGAGCAAAGAAAACTGGATTGTGATCGGCTTGCCTTGGCCGTTGCCTCGGTTGCATCGGTTGCATCGGTTGCCTCGGTTGCGAAATGTTGCGAAATGTTGCGAAATGTTGCAAAAAACTGAAAAGCAGGGCCGCCAGGGCCGGGGTCCACTGAGGAGACGGAAGAGAAGTTGGAAGCTGCCAGATATCGGCGCTATCGGAACTTCAGCATTTCTGGCAGAGTTTATGCACTTCTTTGAAAGCTTTGGACTCAGCTGACATCACAAGCTTTGGACACAGCCTGTGCAGATAAGTACAACTTCCTGGAGCGCGCCTTTGGAGAGCAGGCTAGAAGATTTCAGTATTTGTTTTTTGAAATGATTTCTCGTCATGCGCAGGTGCTATCAACACTGAGCTTTCTGTTTGCGAAGTCTGTGAAAGTGAAGCGCAGGTTCCTTTTGACCACAAATTTGCCTACACGTCGTCTCTGAAGAACCAATCGCGACTAAAGGCCATGTTTTTTTATGATGGTTTTTGGCTCCTCTATTTCATCAGACTGGTATTTACAATCGCATCAAGTGAAGCATGACCATGTGCCTTGATGATTGAGAACTTGCCTCTATTCAGAATGGGGATGAGTCAATACCTACGGGCCTACGGGACCATTTTTAGAGGGATAAACATCCGTGAATCTGCGCTACTTTCTGCTACTTTGATGTTTACCAAAGTACCGGATTTTGATGGCCTTATCATGCCTTATCATTGAGCGCTTTCCTACCACTCTGTGTGACCTCCTGACTCGGTTAAGATCTGTGCAGCGTTTCTTTTTCCCCCGGGAAAATTACGTCATCACAAGCAGTCGCAGCCTCCTCACAGCAACTTCCTTGCTTTCTAAATGAAGATCTCATTGCAGAGTTTGGATAGTGATGGATAGTGCATGTTACAACTTAGCCGACATGTTCGTTTGTATTGTTTTCTGTTCGCCTCCGTGCCAGTCAATGAGCTCAAAGCTGAACCTGGACTGAGAACGAGCTTGACGCCGCCTGGGAACGATGAAGTGCACCTGCTTCGAGTCGGTTCCCTTTGGTATTTTCTTTTTAAGCTCATCATGGTCTAAAACAGTATCCAGCCTGATCCAGCCGTTGCTTTTTAAAAACTCCTAGTTTCACGCCACATTGAGGGTGTTGCGCATTGCGCAACATGTTGGTCTCAAAGCAGCAACACAACCGCTAGCATGTCCAAAGACATGTTGCAGCAAAAGGAATCGCTGTCTGATGTGGATTTGCTGTGCAATCCTTTTGTACTGTGTTGGGAAGTCGATTGCTAAAGAAAACAAATCGGGGCAGTACGCTTTTCTGAGCTACCCAGTTTTCTTCACTGAATGGATCATTTTGCACATCGTTTTCCTGCAACATTTGCATGCTCGAGCTGCTTCGGCACAACTAGTGGACAGTTTTAAAAGACTTCTGTTCTCGTCGAGAGTTCCAAACTAGGACTCTATTCACATGCCAAGTTGTCATCCGTATTGACTATGAGAAAGGACAACTGCTGGAACGGATGCCCAGAGATACGAAGAAGTTTGCCAGCAGCGATAGTGGCAAGAATTGAGGCACAAAGTCCTTCCTTGGCAATGGCGGCAGAGTGGCTGAGCGGACACATAGATCGCGACAGCCTCAGCCATGGCGATGGGAAATTCCCATTTGTAGGTGTTTTTTTCATTAAAACATCTTTGTTATATGGGATTAGCTGAGGTGGAGATGACGCGAGAGATGTGTACTCGTACTCTCTCGAGGGGCAGAATGAGCTTCTTCAGTTCTTGAAGGCGAAAAGCCGCTTTTCCGTTGGTGAATTCCCACTCGACCCTTGTCAATTCCATCACATCACATTGATTAAAAATCCAATTCAACATTTGCTCCTTTTTGCGATGTCACACCAGACCAGACCTTTGCGACAAAACAATCGAAACGGCAGCAAACACCTGCTGCAGGCGATTCGCCCGGAGTGGTCATTTCCGAAGAAGAACGGCAAAAGCAATTTGCGGAGTGACCCGTCTTTTCCAAGTGCCATCCGGAACATCGATTGCCAAACACCCGTCACGACATAAGGTGTCATGGACAAGCTGAAAGCAGTACGTCAGAGGCCTGAAGAAGGTCAAACAGGAGAGAGCCTGGAACGAGCACAAGTTCTTTGCAGTCCTGGTGTACTAATTTGTGAAAGACTTGGCTTTAGAAGATGGATACAAAGCTTGAGCTTTTACGAAAGCTAGCTTGTGCTAGCTGAAGTTGCTCTTGCTCTAGCAAAGAATAGTCAGGCACCAGGACCGTTGGAAACCCTAAAACTTTCCAGTTAGACCCTTCCCCCCCTGGCAGGCCCGGGTTCAATCCCCCCCTGGTCCCCCTGGGCCATTGGTTTCCTGCAGGTCTAAAGTCATCCTCTTCAGTATTTCATTTTCAGGACGTCATGTTCAGTATATCAACCATCAACTCTAAAATCACCAAATGATCATCATTATCTTCCTCCTCCTCCTCCTCCTATTCCTCTTCCTCTTCCTCTTCCTCCTCCTCGTCGTCATCATCATTCTCCTCCTCCTCATCCTTATCCTTATCCTTATCCTCATCCTCATCCTTATCCTCATCCTTATCCTCATCCTTATCCTCATCCTCCTCCTCCTCCTCCTCACCACCACCACCACCACCACCACCAGCATCATCATCATCATCATCATCGTCATCATCGTCATCGTCATCGTCATCGTCATCGTCATCGTCATCGTCATCGTCATCGTCACCGTCATCGTCATCGTCATCGTCATCGTCATCGTCATCGTCATCGTCATCGTCGTCATCATCATCATCATCATCATCCTCATCCATATGTTGCATTGCCTTGAACATTTTGCGTACGCCTAATGCAGCTTTGGGCTTCCATTTGGGGGGCGTTTTTTTTTTTGGATTTTGTCTTTCTTTTGCTTAAAAAACCTTGCGAGAGACGATTGCTGCATTGGGGGGTTCTCGCTTGCTGGACCCAACAGATAGTGCAACCCTACAACAGCCCTGCTAGCTTTCGAACCCCACCCTGGCCTCAATTTTCGTCTCCATTCCCATTTTTTTGTCGGGCCTTATTTGTACTTCAGCTGACATGGTGCTGCTGCTGCCGCTGCTGCTGCCGCTGCTGCTGCCGCTGCTGCTGCCGCTGCTGCTGTTACCAGTGGAGATGTGGCTGCTTGAACTTGTGACTCGGAAAGTGATTTCCAAACTTCTGAACTGGAGGCCCTGCAAGTATAAAGTCTATATTGTCTATATTTTTAGTTTCACGTTTGAAACTTGCGATGGCTGAGGTGTTGGCACTGTTTGGGAGTTATTCCGTGCGGTCATGCGGAATACCATCAGTGAGGATCTTGCTCAAGCAGGGTGCGGGGAGTCTGATGGATCGGCATGATCATGATTTTTGCTTTGGGAAGCACATCGCAATTTCTTCGCAAAATTCCTGTCTCTGTGAGAGGTACTCCGTGTTGAGCAAAGAGACTCTCGACAGGATTCGCAAGCGAACGAGCTTCTTCAGGCAGTTGCTTGGACGCCGTAGTATTCTTCCATGGCCTACGGTCATACTTGGTGATACTTTGTTTGATGCTTTAGTTTATCGCATTCTAGTTTTTCCCTCACAAATGAGCTTTGCTCCGATTTTTTCTCAACACTCGGACGTTGAAGTTATATTTTGAGATTCAGTATTGAAAGCACTTGCCATGAAGTGGAATTTCAATGCAAATGAAATGTGATCACTTTTGCTATTGGAGCTCTGCTGGTATAGTCTTTAGATACTTTTTAGAATCCTTTAGATGTCTTGAGTTTCTGAACTCTCGACTGACTCTCAACTGACTGCAATGCACCGCCTTTCCAGCACTTTTCCACTGCTTAGGCTCGATGTCCTCACTGAGACGGACTGCCGCCAGACAGGAGCTTTTGCACCAGTGCACCAGATCAGCTCCAGCTCAAGCAGACACCACAGCAGTTCTGTGGTGTTTGGTGCTTCGCTGCTTCGCCAGGTACCGCAACTCCTCTCACAAAAGAAACTTGCTTATTGGAGTGCAAAGCTCAAGACCGGTCGGACCTCTGCACTCTTTTGAGATGTCTTGACTATGTTCGGTGGTTTCGTCACGGAGGGATCTCCAAATCATCATGACCATGGCTTAGTACTGAAACCCATGGTGACTTGGGGATCCCCCATTTTAAGAAACCCCTATTTAGCCATCTAGTTCACCAAGTTCAGTTGAACGGACCGTCCCCGAGGCAAGGTACCGTCACATCATGGAAGAAAGTTTGATGAAAGGCCGGCGTTGCAAAAACGCTGAAGAAAAAATGACATCGATCCAGAGGGGGCACACACACACATTGAGAACTGTTGAGTTCAGACTGACTTATAATATATATATATATTATATATTATAATATATATATATATAATGGGACTGTTTTAAAATGGGTATACCCCAAAATAACAATTTTGATGGGGACTTTGATGATCAACCATTGGATTTGTTGTTTTTTTTTCCTCATTTTTCAGACGCGCATACTTAAGCGACATAACCCATATCTCCCAAATGCAGGCCGCAATCTCCTGAGCGTAGAAGCTCCATTCCAAGGGCATCTTCTTCTCAATCTCGCAGAGCCTCCTTTGCACATCGTTTGTCAGTGGGCCACGTGCAATTCAATATGTATATGTTTATCATTGTTTATCTAGACTCTAGACTCTAGACCAAAAACATGGAAAACACATATACTAAATATTTTACAGAGTAGCAATCCGCACCTTGCCTCAAGTCAGCACGGGAGCTTCCCCATCCCCAACGCTTTGCACGACTCAGGAGCCAGTCGCTCTGGTCACTTCGAAAACCGGCTTTTCGATCCTTGGTTGAGATGGCACGATGGCACAACTTGAAAATGGAACGGAATATGAGCATAAAGAGATGTATGTAACTTCATATATTAGGTAATCTTGTACGAAACACGTGCTATCTACCAGCACTGCGAACAAACCTTCGGTGCATGTCATTGATGTTTTTTTTACAGATGTTTTTTGTCAAGGTCAGCAATGGCAACCTGATCGAGGTGACGCCAAACCAGCGGAGTCATTTTTTATCGCAACCGCTCCAGCCGCTCCAGCCGCTCCAGTCAGTTCGCAGGTTGATGGACGGGACATGTGCAGGCCAAGATTACGTGGAGCCAGGTGCGGGACAGTGGGACTTGCCATGACTTGCCCCTGGTCAGATTTTTGAGACCCGACTAGCCAGGACATGCGTCCGACGTGGACATGACATTGAGCCTTTCAGGCACGGCTTTGGTTCACCGTTACTAGGCCCATGATATACAAGAATGGAAGGAGGTCTGTCAATCTCGCGCACTGTTATTAAATTTGTGGGATTGCCATGATTTTTGCAATCCTTATGCAGGCTGCTTGGAGATGCTTTTACTCACAGCATCCTGGAAACGGGTTTTGAGTTTGTAACGTCCTTTGTTTTCAAGCTTTTGGCACAGCTCAGCTAACAAAGGATTGCATGTTTTGGGTGCGTATAGCTTGCAGGGCAGAGAAATCAGAGGCTGATACGAGTCAAGCACTTGACAAGGTGCCTGCACCGTGGCAGCGTTGCCAAAGAGCGCGATTCGTTCGTATGTAAGCTGATTCTTACAGATGTTTTTATGGTGCTCTTATGATTTTTGTTGCTCATTATGACATGGTATGAGTTTGGGAAAGTTTCTACAGTAATCATGCTACATTGTGATGGAGGATGGGGGCACCTATTCTCAGGACCGTTGGGCTTTGAAATCCGCGATGCGACTACCTGCTCTTTCCAAAACTTGGCAGGCAGTGCATTGTTTTCAAACTCTTTCCACATTAAATACCCTCATATATATTTTAATATTACATACACGGGTGGCATATAATATTGGATCTATTCATGAATTGCGGTCCCGTTTGTTGGGGCTCGTTCATGTTGGGGAGATAGGATTATTGTTGCACAAGACCTGGCTTCCATTCTTGTTCCATCATGGCACTCCAGATTGGAACTTGAAGCAGCACGTTGGGCAAATCCATCGCAACGATTACAATTTTGCTGTTCAGCTGATGTGAGGCTGGTGACAACAAGGCAACCTGTTCAAGCAGTCTTGATTCTGGTGACAAGCGCATTCCCTGGAGGAAAATCTGACGACTTGTCATTGGTTGCATGTCTGATTTCCAGCAACCAATTTTTGATGAAATCTGAAGTGTTCTGGAATTCTTCTAGATATTCAAGATCAGCTCTTGTCCCCCGGCCTTACCTCTTCTTGATTTCCTTCTCTGTGTAGCACCTAAGGCCTCCGAAGATTGGCTTGTTGCGAGAAGCAAGCCAAGTGTCCATTTCGGGTCTGGACTTTAGCGTTTGTGGCCTTGCAGATGAACAATGTTGAGAGACGTCAAATTGATTGATTGATAGGTTTGATGGATTTGATTTATGGATACACAAAATCCCACATATATATATATATATACACATACGTATAATATATATATACATATAATACAGACTAGTAAATAAGTATACACATACATTTTTATGTACTTGTATGTACATATACACATATGGCGACGTAGATATGGTCATTGGTTTGCCTTTCATTCTTTGGCTGTTGCTTCTCTTGTGCTGTTTCTGCAGTAGTTGCTGCTCCTCCAAAGCGTGCAGACACATTCCGTTTTATCTTCAGAGATTTTCCCTACAATGCAGGGTTCGTGATGTTTGGCCTTTGTATTTTCATTCACCCAGCGGGTTTTATTTATATATTTTTATTCGGGTGTGTGGCTTTCATTCGGGTATCTTAAAATTAAGATCTTGATACAGCTACCTTCTAAGGTTTCACCAACATAACAAAACAAAGAGAACCAAAAGGGTTTTAGGGGCCTAAAATTCAACAGTCAATACTAAACTTCACCAACATCTGCGGTTTAGGCCGACAACATTTTTGACCCATACCCAGTCCATGCCCGAGTCTGGTCGCAGGGGATGACTCACACACCTTGCGAGATGGATCGACTGAGACCGGACGCCCAGGGTGGAGTCCACGAGTCGAGACTCGTGCTACGGGAGCTTTGTAGGAACCTCCACATTGAAATCATTATATATTTCATAGTAAAAACAATGTCTCATAATACATACATACATACATACATACATACATACATACATACATACATACATACATACATACATACATACATACATACATACATACATACATACATACATACATACATACATACATACATACATACATACATACATACATACATACATACATACATACATACATACATACATACATACATACATACATACATACATACATACATACATACATACATACATACATACATACATACATACATACATACATACATACATACATACATACATACATACATACATACATATACATACATACATACATACATACATACATACATACATACATACATACATACATACATACATACATACATACATACATACATACATACATACATACATACATACATACATACATACATACATACATACATACATACATACACACAGACATACTACATACCTACATACATACATACATACATACATACATACATACATACATACATACATACATACATACATACATACATACCATACCATATCATATCATATCATATCATATATCATATATCATACCATACCATACCATACCATACCATACCATACCATACATACAATACATACAAGACATACAATACATACAATACATACAAGACATACCATACCATGCCATACATACAATACATACAAGACATACAATACATACAATACATACAAGACATACCATACCATGCCATACATACAATACATACAATACATACAAGACATACAATGCATACAATACATACAATACATACAATACATACAAGACATACAATGCATACAATACATACAATACATACAATACATAAAATGCATACAATGCATACAATACATACAATACATACAATAGATACAATAGATGCAATAGATACAATACATACAATACATACAATAGATACAATAGATACAATAGATACAATAGATACAATAGATACAATAGATACAATAGATACAATAGATACAATAGATACAATAGATACAATAGATACAATACATACAATACATTAAATAAATAAATACATACATACATACATACATACATAAGCTATAAGCTATAAGCTTCTTTCGAGCCATTGAGCAGGAAATGATTGTAAGTGCCTTGATGACTTGCAGGAACCGCACAAGACTTGGCAGTGGCGCAGACCTCAAGTTCCACCAAGTTCGATCTGTAGGATGTGTCAGACCCTGGGGGCTGAATGCAATCTGATCTTATGATCAGGATCCAAGAGAAGGGCTGGATGGATTTCCAAGATGCAGAGGTGTTGCTATACAACCAGGGCCCACTTGCCTGTCACAATCGCAGCAATGAAGATAGCACCCACTTTCTCTGCGAATGTTTCATGACATTGCTTTAAACAATACAAGAGCCGCTGACCAGTTTGCCAGTTCAAGGCCAAAGTAGCTTCCTCTTCATGACGCCGCAACAACGACTGAAGCTTAACGCCGGCTGAAGTGCACACAGGGGTTCAGAATGGTTCAGATGCAATAGCACTCACCTCATTTTCCAAGCAGTTTTTTCTTTTGGCAAGTCCAAACCTTCAACTGTTCTCTGTTTTGAGTCTCGTGTGGTCTTTTTCTTATTCCCAGAACATTTTGGTCCTCGCCACGTTCATCTGAGGGGCTCGCAGCTCTTCAGTAGCAACGTCCCCAGTCCGATTTCTGTCAAGTGATCCCAGGTGGGACCAGCGACGGGACCCCTCAAACTTCGACGGAACTTTGAGCCGTGCTTTGCCTCTGAGCCTTCCAAAGCTGAGGATCATTCTAGCAGTGGCCAGGCACTGTTGCCGGTTTTAATTGGATGTTTTATGAATTTTTGTGATGATTTTGCATGTCATTCTTGTGGATGCATGATAGATCGCAGCACCTGACAAGTCCACTTGCCATCTCTGACAGTTGAGTTGAGCCGTTGTTGTCCAATGCGTAGCATCGCTTAGCACGGTCCGACGGTTGATCCATCCCTGTTGCTTCTTGGACAGGAAGCCGATACGCTGTTGGCGACGGTGGTGAAATTGCAGCAGGATCCGGCGGCTGCGGGCTGTTTTGGTTGGTAGATGATGTGCCATTGGTGCCGGAGGAAGCGGCAGCCATGCAAGACTTCCGGCCGCCAAGCTGGTCAGTGCTCCGGCGACATGAGAATGCCCTCATTGAGAGTGGCCAGGTGTGGGCGTTGCGAGTTACAGTGAGGTTTAACATTTCATTTGTGGCCAGGATTTCACAGCTGTTCCACAAATGCACCTAAAAGCAGAAACTGTACTCAACAGGGCATATACAAATCACACTACAATAGTAGGAGCTGGGGCTTGAACAAGCTTTCAGGAGCCTTGGACTGGAGAAATTGTCTCGCGCTTTGCAGGTTGTGCTCAGAAAGTTTGTTCTCCGTTTTGCTACTCTCAAGCTTTGCAGCTTTGCAACATTGCTTGAATATGCTTGAAATTGATACAACACAAGACTCAAAATCAGATGGGAGCTTTTCGCGCTGAGTGCACATTTTCTAAACCTTCTTTCCAGTTTCCAGCGCAATCGCAAAATGGCAGCAAACGTCACAGTGACATAGGAGTCCTATTCGGAACATGAAATAAGTGCCGCCATGCCATCTGCTGCGAGCAGTCAGAAAGAGCTGCGCTTCGCGCTGCTCTCTCTTTTTCCATCCGCGGGACTCAAAGAGGTCAGCGAGGCGGGCCGTGGCCTGGTGGCCAACATATCGAGGGACGACACGGCTTCCTCAGATGAGGATGGGTCAAATATTGGGGGTACCAATGAAAAAACAAAACCGCTGTTCTATTATGTTCTGTTAGTGTATACTGTAACCATCCCCAAAAAGATCCACAAGTAAAACCCGATCAAAAGAACGGTGACTAATACTAGTTTCCGATATTTTCCGGGGTTACTACAAGGGTCAATCATTTTCGGCCATACCCACGATATCATCCGGTTGTTTGCTGGTAACATCGACCATTTTTTTTGATGCTGTCTTTTCTTGGATCCCTTAGTCAGAGGCCACTTGGCCTTGGCGACTCAGGCTGCGAAGGTTGGCGACTTCGACGCAGCCGTGGAGATCCTCCGCGCGCGCGTCACTGGCGTGACTGGCGTGACTGCGATCTCCGAAGTACCGGCCCTGGTGGCTGCCGAAAGCGAGATAGCAACAGCTGAAGGATCGCAACCGGAAACGAAGGAAGAGGAGTAGCTCACTTGCATGTGGTGGTTTCCAATGACTGTTCAATGGCAGTTCACAATCGCTGATAGCTTTCTGAAATCCCGTGGAAATTCACTTTGGCAACTCTGGGATCGTGGGCAAAGGCCTGTGAAGACAGATAAGACAGGAGGCTGCGAGGAAAAAGAGCCAGAGGAAGACATCCTGACAGAGGTACTCAAGTAGTAAGTTCCTGGGTATGGGGCAAAACTTGTTGATTTTTTAAACTGGAGGCTTAAGATCCTGAAAAATGAATATGGTGCCCACTGGTAACTGGTACCCAAGAGTGCGGCTTCCCTGCGACAGGCTCTGGCGGCGGCCAAAAAAGACCAATGTTCGGAAAAGAAGAAGGTCAAGCAAGGATCCCAAAGGGGTTGTAATTGGGTTGTAATGGGGGTGTATTCAGCATTCTGCACTGTTTTCTTTCCTGTATGTTCCTAGAAAACTTTCAGAAAGGCACAGACTCCATCCTGCAGGAGGCTACAGTCACGATGGCTGGCAGATCAAGTGCGAAGTTGATATTTCTCGAACATGTCAATCTCTGCGCACGCTATGTTCGCAATCCAAGAAAGTTGAGGAGGCAGCTCCCACAATTCTGCGTCCCTTGACTGTGGCTCCCGCTTTGAAATGCATGTTCAATTGGGATTTCTCTTTACTCTCAGTCATTTTATTATATTTTATTTGCCGACAATCTTTCCAGCACTGAACTACTGCATAGGCCGGTGATGACTTCAGGATCAATCCGACGTGAATCGTGTGGGATTTCGTATTTCTTGACGATATTGGTTCATGAGATGCTGATGACCGGAATGGTCATGAGATTTTTTTTTTACGCCTTTTTTCTTGGTCAAAGGCGATCTAAAAATAAACCACATTAAACCACACTGACACCCATGCAACTGGATCGAGAGAGGGAATATCACTACAGGGTACTGTGGTAGTGTTCTTTTCTGTACCTATTTCTGTACCTATTAGATCTATCAGAATGTTCATTCCAGCTGTAGTGTTGTAGCTCTTCTAATAGCTAGTCAGCTAGTCCAGGCCAAACTTGGAACTAATGCTCGGTTTAGGGCACTTTTTCCAGCGACTTTGCAGCCAAGAATTCTAAGTCGTGATGACTTTAAAAAGTATGATAATCTATCATATCTATCCAGACGACCAAACATGTTATTCATGGAGGGAAAAGTTGGTTTTGTCTGGCGATTTGCATGTTTTTGCCTGGGAAAATCAGAACATACTCAAAAAAGGCCCTGAATCTTGCCTACTGTCCCTCTCGATAATGCGGTGCAAAGGATACGTTGGCGATGACAACACTGCAGCCTTTGCTGCTGTTTGCTTTGAGAGAATGATCCAGCGGGAGCAGGAGTTATGGATGCACCCGACGATCATCGTAGACAACAACTGATATAATAGATACTGTGAATATCGGTGAACTGCAAGGAAGACACCACCTGCTTGAGCATTTGATGAGCTGACATGAATGCAAATCAGAACTCAGATTCAGACTTTTTTTTGTTCGGTGTTTTCCGCAGTGCGTGGCAATTTCCGTGCCGAAGGAGTTTGATGATCGCTTTTGCGTTTTCTACCATCACTACAACGGCGCTGTAGCTGCACTGCCATGTCCCATCTTGTTGTGTGCCATAAACCAAGCAATCTTAGATGGTTCATACAGTTAATAGTTAATACCCATCCATTTCTGGGATGGTTTATGGCTTTGAGTTTGCCATAGTATTAACTTTAGACAAGGCATATTTGCATATATTTGCCATGTGACCTGCCCGAAGCGAGGTGCTGCGCTGCTATATGAAGTGCAGACCGAGATTGCACGCTATGCGTTCGATCTGCCAGACTCTTTTGCACCATTGCCTCGAGTTGCTCAGCTTGGAAATAGATTGAAACTTCACTGCTTTACTTTTTTACAGCCTCTTCGGCCTCTTAGCTAGTAACATTTGTGGCATTGCATGTGCCGCAAACACTCAGTCCTGTCGAGTCGTCAAATCTGGTGCAGGTGTTCTTGGGCCACTTCAAAGACTGCACTCTGGATCGCTTGAAGGCTTCCTTCGCAGCTTGCAAGGGTCAGGCGCTGATGGGACACTGGCAGCTGCGAATGCTATTGAAACTCATGAGGCCAAATTGTGTGTGAATTTTACCTGGTATACAAAATAGTAGAACCCAGTTACATATAACAGCAAACAGCACATATAAATATATATAGTTATATATATATTATAATTATATATATATACATATTATATATGCATATATAATTTAATTGATATTGAGATAACCCCCCAGTTCTACGGTATAGCTTTCGATTTCCAGTGCCAGGATCACGATCCCTGGTTTCGATCCTTGGCGATCTCTGCATCCCCCACACTCTATGCCTTTGGATCGGAAGCCCCGCCGCTGAGTTGCTTTCGACGGGGTTGCTGAGCGCAACAATAAGCGATGATCCAATGGAAGCTGGGGATTACCCAAATCCATTATGAAAAAATAAGATTATGGGGAACTGCAGAAAACTGCAGAAACCCCACTAACAAAGAAGTATTTGGGATTTTGCAGGCTTTTGACACTGCACACTGCAGTTCTACTGAAGGAGAGACCGCCCATTTGTTGTGAAGTTTGCTAAGCTCCTAACATCTTCCGAGCGGAAAGGTGATAGAGGTGTCCCAACATGCGTCCACGTGTGTCCACATGTGTCGCCCTTGGGCTGTGCACAAAATTTGATGTGGAGAAAGTGCTCTTGGTATCAAGGCTATGGCTGTACCGACCTTTCCTTCCGAAATCTGACCATAAGCGTACTACAGGAGGCGTGCAGCATCTCGAGCCTTGACATGAGGGGCTGAGCCATGGAAGGCACCTGAATAAAGGTACCCAAAAACATGCTGTGATACAACTTGATATGACGTAACCCAAATATTTTTTGGCTACTTGTAGCTATGTACTTCATTTATATCCAGTTGTATTAGATTCGTTTCGTCGTTCTAGATAGTTTTGTGGGTCACGCCCCCAAATCCAGGGGTTCATCAATTTTTTCCAACTTTTTGTGGCCACAATTTGCGGCAAATCGATTCTGAACAAACCCTAAATGTCATAGTGTCCGTAACCCAGTAAATATCCCCACGTTTAATGTTTCATATCAACGCAGTAAAAAAAATCCGGGTGGATCAAATCCAATCATTTTCTTGGTGACCATTGTTTTCCATTGCATTTCCATGATACATCATATTCCCAAGAAATTCCCGAATGCTTGGGGTTGAGGTTGACTTTCCTCCCTTTTTTGGCTGTGGAAGCATTTGGCATCCATTTCCAGTGGCCTAGGTCCGGCAGGGCAGCAGGTGTAGTGCATCAACTGAGCCAAGTCGCTGCCAGGACCGGGGCCCGACCCACCCCCAGGTGGTTTTCCGAGAGCAATGTCAGGGATTTGGTGCTAGTTTCCCGTGTTGGGGAACGTCCAAGCATGGTATTTTGTAATGATTTGCTGGTCATATCCACAAAGCCCCACGATTTGTTGATAAAAAACCCCACAGACCTATGGTTATTTTAAAGAACCAGTGACTCGCTGGCAAAATAATGCAACATCTGCATGATTTGTGTGAATGTTTGTAAAATCTTCATTCTTGCGTTTAGTCCGTATTTTCGTTGGCCAAATCTTCAGTTTTAGGTTGCTGAACCCCTTGGATTCCTGTTGGTGTTGAATGGCAATGTGCAAGAGGTTTGGCCTACAAACGAGCGGCTACGACAGTGTGCAAGAGAAAGATGCACCGCAGCGGCTGGGTGGACAGATGCTGCAGATTTTCATCGCCAAGGATATCGTGAATCAATACGTTTCTTGGCGATGCTTCATGCTACCCTGAATGGCACCAATTTTTGAGGGGTTTGACCATGAGACTAATTGGGATTTATCAACAGAAAGTGAGGATATAAGCCATCAAGAGTGTGGTCGTCTCAATGATGCATTCCCAAGTATACCATGTGGGGAATTGCTTTGTGAACCGTACGACATTGGGTTTATCATTGGGTTTGTCACATCATTGTTGCAGCTCTGCTCTGAGGTGTATCGTAGCATCTTGGACAGCCTTGGCACATCTGGGTTCTTGTGGGAATAGGGCACCCCAGTCTATCCAGTGGTTGATCATGTTCCCTATAAAAGTTGTGATTTTGGGAGTACAACCCATTTTCAATGACATCCATATTTCTGGACAAAACTTCCAATATTCGTTGAGAGCAGACAGCACTGAGAATTTCCAAGGGAGACTCTTTTTCAAGGTCAGCTTCGGTCACCAGTTGAGGTAAGCCATTTGGCATTCCCATCGAAACACAACTGGATCTCTGGCTGGAAAATCCTGAAGCTTTGAAGGACCAACTGGATGGTCAAGTACCTTGGAGACAGCTAGTCCTGTGACCTGTGAGACTGGGAGAGACTGTTGAGTGACACAGCCACACAGCTGAAACAGACCTGGCGCCAAGGTCAGAATTCTTTTTGACCCTGCAATTTTCCTTGACAGCAGCAAGGGACAGCTCTTTCACTACTGCGGAGACTGGGAATTTCTGGGAGGAAACGTAGAGATGGAGGAGCGCACAAAAGTGCCATGATAGAATTGCATTTTGGGTGCTGTTTTTTTCCCTTCAGGTTGCAAACTGTGGTGCCAATTTGTGTGTACTCTTACTGAAAAATGTGCACTGGACTTGTGCTGATGAAGGACTCCCGTGCGGCCTTTGTCCAAGAACTTCGAAGAATTCTGGGGCCTGTGATGAAAAATGGACCAAAGGAAGCGCTTCAAAAGCGACTGCAGAAGTGCCGCCAGAGGCGGGAGGACCGTGGCTGTGAGGGTTATAAGGACTGTGAGAAGACCCAGGAGTCACCAGTCATTGATGAAGCATCAAAGAGGCAGAATTGAGGATCTGATGTTTTTTTTTTTAAATATGGGAGTTTCAAGATTTCTCTCTTGATCATAGCTGAGTCGTTGTAGCAAATTTTTGAGCATGGAACATGGCTCCCTGTTTTGATGCTGTCAGGTGACTAATCTCTGGCACAGCTGTGGCTGGACTGCTGGAGCCCGAATCTCCCGAGAAGTTTGGTCTTAAAGACAAACATGTGTTGCTTGTCTTAGGGACTGCAAAGAAAAAAGCATTTCGTGGCACCCACCGGATACTGGCAAGGATCCCTACAAAGGTCATATACGTCCGTCCATGTACAGTGTACAGTGTCGCGTCCGTGTGCCTTCAACTTGATGGGGACTTGTGGTGCAAAAGACTGCAGCGAAGTGTCATATGCCTGAGTTGGCTGTGGCCGCAGTGAGGAAGAACCGTTTTGCATTGCATTTGGAGTTTGTTTGAACATGGCTACGGTATAATTATAATGGTATAACCCCAATGGCAATTTTAATGGAGAAGATTATGATCAACTTGCGGATTTACCGCTACCAGTACCTTATGTTCAGACAAACCCATTTGATCCCATTTGGAGCTTGGATATATGCTCCTGCTCATATATTCTCTATTTTCTTCTGTGTCGAGACATGGCTATGGATTTCTTGACAGCTACAACTGTCCATGTCGAACTTTTGCGACAGGCAATGCTTGATGAGCAAAAGGCCCTTTTCGAAAGGCAGGTAGCAGCATTGAACAGGTAGTTTGGGCATGGGTCAAAATTGTTGACCGCCAAAACAGATGGTTCAAGTTTGATACGAAAAGCGACCAGCCATTTGTGTTCCATTGCTATCCCCATTATTTGAGTGTTGCAGGTCCAAACTGCAGAAGCTCATGGAGCAAGAAGGCAGCGCATTTTTGAAGTTTGCTACTTGAAGACAATTTGAAAAAGGTGGACATGTGGAGGAGCAGAATTTCAGATTATCGCATAGGTAGGAGGGGTATTTTTTCTCAAAAAAATGCGGCTTCTGTGGCTTTCACTCGGGATAGGTATTTTATACAAATCACACGGCCACCACCCATCAACAACCCATGACATCATGGCAACATGAAAGATTTGAGTGCCAAAATGGCACACAAAATGTGGCCAAGCGCCATGGGGAGAAGCGCTGCGCCCCTAAGCTCAACCCCTTGCCAACAACATCAATGACATCAGAACATGGAAAGCTCAAGTGCCCGTTGCGCAAGCTGCTTCCAACCCCCAAAAATCAACGGAGAGTTTCTCGATGATGTTTTATATTGGCAACGGAGAGTAGCTTTATGCTCAACATGATGCAACATACCATGCTAAGTGGACACCTCGCAAAACTATTAAGAAACATAACGCTGCATGTACCTTGCAAAGAAGAGATTTCAGATCGAACACGCTGCAAACAAATCGGTCCAAGTCAGAGATTTGAGCTGCAAAGTTCTGCAAAGTTCAGCTCCAAAAGTGCGGCAAATACTGAGGAAATAACAGATTTTGGCTCCAAGATGTTGCAAATACCGTGGAAATAAGAAATGTTAGCCTCAAACTGTTGCAACACGAGGGAGCACTGCTCAAAAATGCTGGAAATATCGACGAAACAAGAGATTTTAGCCGCAAATGTGGAAGCAGCCCCGCAGCCCCATTAAAAAAACAGACATAAAAAACATTAAAAAGAGCCAAACCAGTTCGCATCGATATGCCAAGGTGAGACTTCCTTCTTATTCCCGTGGGTTTTCCCTTGAACCTTCGCAAAGTGCGAGTTCGTTCGCGCCAGGTCTTTGTTCGCCAATGCGGCAGCATGTGGCCAAAAATGTTCGTTCCCGCCTGAAGGAGGAGAAATCACATGGGTCGATTGAGGTACCGACCCATGGCTGGTGATTTTTGGTATGTAGATATGGCTGGAACGGCTGGAACGGCTGGAAGTAAACAAAACCTCTGACTCCATTTTGGGTTGATGATATTGATCCATTGATCCATACCAATTCCATAGATGTTTATGATGTTTTACCACACCTTTTGGAATCCTGGTCTATCTTCAGCACTCCTTTACTCTTCAGAAATTGAGCTTTGAAAACTTTGTTTCAGCAGGATCCTGTCCAGTTGTTGCAGGAGAGTGAAAAAGTGGCGGCTGAGGGGCTAGAGATGCAGCACAAGTGCACCAACATCAGGCCACGCTTGGAAGGTGTGTCAAGTTTTCTCCAAAAGGATGGGGAACTGCAGATTTGCCGACCTGGTCAGGAAAAACCTCGGCCAAATGATGAATGCAAGGAGCTCTACAGAGAAGTGTACACTTCTACGGTATATGAAGCATCACCCAGATGTTGGCCTGGACTAGTTTGGCAGTTTGGCATTGTGTGCTTGCTGTTTAACTATTCTAATTTAGGTATTTCGCAGTCACAATCAACAAGGGAGGCAACGGTGTCAGGATCAACTTTGTTTCCCTGGTGAATTTCATGTGAATTGGACAGGAGGGATCTTGCCTCCCTTCGACGGGCAATTGTTGGGCGAGGTATTGATGCACCATCCTTAGCTGTAAACCCAGCGAGTCAATGCTGTGAGTCACAGCTGACCGCTGCTTGTCGAGGAAGAGCAACTGAAGCGGGACTTGCTAACGAGCTGACTTCCAGCGTTTCCTGGATCAGTGGATGAGTTTTGCAGAGGAAGATCCTCTGTTGAGGGGAGCAGCTTGGTTTCACCCTTGGTAAGACAGTTGTGCAGTTGCCGTCTTGTCCTACCTGGATTGTACAAACCACGACCTGGTCTCCGAAGGAGATCCACACCGATTCGGTGCAAAGGGTAAACTGATGTAAACTGGAAAACTATGGAAGAAAAAAATGGAACAAGGTGGCGCCCCTAGATAGCTAAGTTGGTTTACTAGGTGAACTATGTTTCTTGGTAGATATGTAAAGATGATCAGCTTCGCCAACCAACATTTTTGGGCACCACCTTGAGCCAACTTCCGGGCAGATGCGGTCCTTGGTTCTGCACATGTTTTTCCGCGAGATGGGTTGAAATGGGTGAAAACTGAAGGCCCAGGGACCCTAGGATTTTGGGTTTCCAGGTTTCACTACAGGAACCAGGTGGTCATGGTATATAGATCCCCAGCTGTGCCGACTTAGCGTTGCGATGATCATGAGATCTCATGCAATCCAAAGGATCTCCCCCGCATCGTAGCGGGATTTGCTGATACCATCCATCAAGTCTCTATCATACCGGGGATGTTAGGCGAATTCTCGGGAAACATGTCACAACGGTAGGCGAATTCTCATAGCTCTTCAGGCTTTTCACAACCTTTGCGTCAGCATTGGAGTCTCAAGTTGTGACGCAAGAAAAGTTCTCCGCGATAAGTGCGGTCGGCTGGGACTCCACCCATGGGGAACACGGCTTGCTGCTACTCCCCAGGCTGGACGAATGTGGCGTTACTGTACTGTACTGAGATTACTGAGCAGTCGGTTTTGTAAGATCTGGTTTTTGTTCAGACAAGGAGAAACAATGACATGAAATCAACGCTCAGTTCATTTCAGATTCCGAAGAATCCCCTCTGACCCCAGCCCCAAATTCCTTCCAAAGCTGCAACCAGACAATCGCTGCTGTGGCAATGGAGATGTAGCAAGACTCTAAGATATGTGAATGACAGAGGGAAGAGGCGAGTAGTTGGCACGGATTTTGACAGAGTTTGGCAACCAGTAAACATCGCTTCGAGCTTTTGGCCACTAGGGATCTGAAGCAATAGATGGATGATGATGACCCGATTTGCAGATCGGACATAGAAAACCATCACAGTGAGACCCTGCAACCGATCCAGTGAGCCTGGCCAAAAGATTGCTTCTGCCAAGGCTCCAGGGCCTGTGGATCCTCTGCGCGATGAGGCAAATTTCGAAAAGGCGTCTGGGTTCTGAAAGAAATGACAACTTTGGGTATGGATGTCGACCATTTTTTTGGGAACCAATAGCTATGTCAGCTATGTTTGTCTTAAAATAAGGCACCCCCAAATCCAGTGGTTGGTCAGTTGGTCATGTCATTTTCCCTCTAAGATGGTCATGGTATATCATGGGCTATATCGGTATATGGTACCCTCTGGTAATTTAATATAGCTATTGAAAATGGCCATTTATAGTGGATTTACCCATCAAAACTGGTGATTTTCCATAGTTATGTTAAATTACCAGAGGGTATATCATGGTATATCCATTTTCAGACACAAATATCCGTTGTGCCTTTCTCAGGATCCGAAGGCTGACTCAGCAGGTGGGGGTTGTCCGAAAACTGCACCTTGGGTGATTCATGATTGTTGGCTGGTTCCCCCCAAACAACTATCATAAGCACAAATGGACAAATGGCCAAAGCGTGGATTTTCCTTACAACTTTGGAACATCTACTGATGTTTCTTGCCACTTGTCAGGCACAAGTGCACCTGCTTTGGTTGAGGCACGGTTTTTGTCGGGCTTGACGCTTCAATCCACAAAGTTAAAGGTCTGGTATGTAGAGGCCGGGATTTTTTCGCGGGGAGTTTTATGATCACATTTTATCAACACATATTGGGATGGAAGCAGCAAAATAAGGTAAAATCCAGAGACTTTTGAAGGCAAACCCAGAGCTCGCCAGTTGAACTTGTTAAGGACACGAAAGAAGATTCTCCTTCCTTGGATGCAGAGGCGTGCTTCTGCCTTTCACAGATCTTTCACAGTTTCAGATCGACCTGTTCCGTTGTGATGCAAAGAGCTTGCCGATCATTTCTGCAGCTATCGCAGGAGCGACAGTTTGTAACGTACCAGGCCAGGATTCTTCCACATTCTTCCATTGTTGTCAACCAGCCCTGGATGATCTTGGAATGATATTGAATTCATTGGGAAAGTATGTGATCAGGATGGATCAACCTATACTGGCATGATCAAGGATGGCAAGCGGCATGGTGGCCCCCTCAGCATGCAGCTCCTTGGACGGACAAAAAATGGTGTCATGCCAAGGACATGGAGTTTGGCAGTCTAAGAATTGCCAGTATGAAGGACAGTGGAAGGTTGGGCTTGGAGGGCTTGGAGGGATGCATGGTGAGAGGATGTTGATGGCTAATGATTTCAAAATTGGAAGGATAGATATGGACATCGATTTCGTGTTTTTTTTTTGTTCTGTCTCGCTACTGCCTCTGCCTCTCTGTGTTGTCATTGCTTCTGCCTCTTCCAGGCTGATGCGCAAGATGGACAGGGGCGGCAGACCTGGAGCGACGGACGTGTTTATGAAGGACAATTCCAGAACGGTCGCTTTTCTGGAACTGGCAAGATGGTAGACCTGGCTTGTTTTACCTGGTGAGTTCCAGTATCCCAGCTGTTGAATATGGTTGAATATTGTTGAATGATAAGAGGAAGCGGTGCAACTTCTGTCCTTTTCTAGGTGTGGCACACTCAAAAGGGCATGTTGGTCTACGAGGGCCAATACAAGGACGAAAATTTGCTTAGCCGTGTGCTCAAGCAATGTCAGCAAACTGCACTGAACTGCACTGGGTGCTTCACATCTCGCCTTGTGCAGGATGATTTGAAGCATGGACAGGGCAAATTCGTGTGGCCTGATGGTCGGCCCTGGCTATTTGGAGTCAAGATTTTTGACCTGCAATTTGCAGACGTTGTCTGAACTCCTTGTTTCTGAGGGACATGGTCCCGAGAATTTCTTGTTGATACAGTGGTTCCCATTGTACTCTCGTCTTCTTTGCTTAGAACCCCATTTTCCGTGGCGCTTTGCTCATTGCGATCCAAGCAATTTGAAGTGAAACTTCAACATAAAACAGGTCGGACCTACGACGGTGAGTGGAGCCAAGGCAAACGTCATGGTGTGGTGCTGAGCAAGAGAAGCAGGAACATTTGGGCTGGTGTTGTCTTTGAATGTCTGATGTTTCATGGAAGGATGAGGCGGACCGTTGAATTTGTGTGTCTCCACCTCTTGTATCTCTCCGTCCATCGTTTATTATCATTGATCCGTTCAATGGTTATTAACTGTGGGTATCCCGGATCCATCCAAATCTACTGTGTTTGGATATCGGAAGTATCGGATCAACATGGATCAACATCAGTTGCACAACGACGCAATTTCTCCGTCCACAACACGAGGTCGGGGAACCTACATCACAGCAAAGGCTGAGCGAAAGGCACTGTCAACCAGGGATGAATCAATTCCCTGCTTAGTTTGATGGGCACTTTGGGACTTGCATCAACCATTTTTTTTTGGCTTTCGGCTATTTAATACCACCCAAATGGTTGGTAAACTTGGGGTCCAATGCTAGCAGTCCACGCGTGGCGTGCAGGTGGGCTACTGGCAGGATGACAAGTTTGACCGTTGGGAGAAGGAGCTTGGATCATGCCCATGTTAATATGCATCTGTATATATATATATATAAATACAGAGATATTATATACATACTCAAATAAACATAGATATATTTGTACGCATATACATACATACATACATACATACATACATACATACATACATACTTACATTCCATTCCATTACATTACATTACATTACATTACATACCATTACATTACATTACATTACATTACATACATTACATACATACATTACATACATTACATACATTACATACATTACATACATGACATACATTACATACATTACATACATTACATACATTACATACATGACATACATGACATACATTACATACATGACATACATGACATACATGACATACATGACATACATGACATACATGACATACATGACATACATGACATACATGACATACATGGCATACATGACATACATGACATACATGACATACATGACGTACATGACATACATGACATACATGACATACATACTGATATACATACATGACATACATACAGACATACATACTGACATACATACTGACATGCATACTGACATACATACTGACATACATACTGGCATACATACATACATACATACATACATACATACATACATACATACATACATACATACATACATACATACATACATACATACATACATACATACATACATACATACATACATACATACATACATACCATACATACCATACATACCATACATACCATACATACCATACATACCATACATTCCATACATTACATACATTACATACATTACATACATTACATACATTACATACATTACATACATTACATACATTACATACATTACATACATTACATACATTACATACATTACATACATTACATACATTACATACATTAATACATTACATACATTACATACATTACATACATTACATACATTACATACATTACATACATTACATACATTACATACATTACATACATTACATACATTACATACATTCATACATTACATACATTACATACATTACATACATTACATACATTACATACATTACATACATTACATACATTACATACATTACATACATTCCATACATTCCATACATTACATACATTACATACATTACATACATTACATACATTACATACATTACATACATTACATACATTACATGCATTACATACATTACATACATTACATACATTACATACATTACATACATTACATACATTACATACATTACATACATACATACATACGTACGTGCGTACGTACGTACATACATACATACATACATACATACATACATACATACATTACATACATACATACATTACATACATACATACATACATACATACATACATTATTAATACATATGCATATACAATGTAATATAATATAATATATATATACATACATATATATATATATATACATATTAATACATATACATATATAATGTAACATAATATAATATAATATGATATAATATGATGTGATATGATATCATATAATATGATATACTATACTATAATATAATGTAATATAATATTAATATAATATAATATAGCATAATATAATATAATATAATATAATATGATATATAAACAAGAAATATCCCGATTCGCGAGCCATACCGACTCCAGGAGGAAGAGAAGTAAGTCGACTGCTCCAAGAGCGCCAAGATCTTGACAGGAATCCCGAGCTGCTGGTGATTTGAATTTTCCAGCTGTTGTCCAAACTGATGAAAGCTTTGAAAAGGCGGTATACCCTCTGGTTATGTCAAAATAGCTATTGAAAATGGCCATTAATAGTGGATTTTCCCATTAAAAATGGTGATTTTCTATAGCTATGTTAAATTACCAGAGGGTAATGGGGATATTTGCTGTACTGGCTTTGTACGAATCGATATAATGAGGATATTTACGGTACTGACGTAGAACTAACTCGGACGAACCAACTTGATATGATTTTTGGGTGTGTCTGAAAACCGGAATGCCCATAAACAAATCCATTCTAGATGAGAAAAATGATGATCAACTATGGGATTTTGGGCTAGAATATTTTCAGACAAACTCACAGGTATGATCCGGGCTTAGAGCCTGTATAAATTTGTGCAATATGCATTGGAGCAAAGAACCCACTATAGACATGTTTATTCACAACTGGGTTTGAAAAGCAGAGAAACCTGAGCTTCATTTCTTTGCCCACATCAAAGCCATGCCTGCTAGCATTCGGGTCTCATCAGTGCTTCGAGGCCCGGCTAATGGCTGGATGAAAGCGAAGCTTCCTCACAGCAGGCCTTCAACAGAGTTCCTCGCAGCGAGCACGAAGACTATGAAAATCATTGGGATTCTTTTTTGGCAAGTTCCAACCACAAGAATTGGTGGCCAGTCTGCCACACATACCTTTTGAGGACAGGATGAATCAAACGTGTCTTGCTGCGAACAAAACTTTAATTCAACCTGGCATTGAGTGCTTGAAGTGAAAACCGTGAATCACGAATCAGTGTGTTCAGTTATAAGAAACGGCGATATAACGTACTCCACTCGACGAAGCTAGGTGTTGGCGCTCCGATCGGCATAAGCCGTAGCAGTGCCGAAGGCAGTTTCACAAGATGCAATGGCATCAGTGCTTGGCCTTGATGGCGAAGTTGTCCCATTTCGCGCAGCTCAGTCAGAGTTTTTGGCATGTGCTGGGTGTACTTTTGAAGGAAGTCTATTGAAATGTGAGGGATTTGATACACATTTATAGCTTTCATGCTACCTACAAATATTACAAACAGGATATTTGGGTAGATTTGGGTGTTGCAATAGAATTTGGTTTTGCCACGATTACTTGGTGAATGACAAGGCGACACAAATAACATGAGTGAGCAAGCGTGGCTGGATACTTCATGTAGATTGCAGCTTTTTTTGGACGCACAACTGCAATGCGCGCCAGCACAAGGAGCAGAAAAACAACATAGGAACGCGCTAGAGGACCCGTGCTTTTCAACGGCACAAGCCTGCTGTATTGGACATTTAGAACTGTCTGCAATATTCTGGCTCAGGCTACGTCCAAGTCAGATCCTTTCTTTGCCAACATGCCTGTAACGTGTTTCTTGATTAGGGCACTGGTCTTCGGAATCCTTTTCGATTGTAGAGATGATCGCAAAGTCTGCAGTGCAGAGGCAAAAGCCAAGTCAAAATCTACCCCGCAAGCTTTGCTTCCATAGAATCCTATTTGTATATCCCATCCTTTGGACTTACAAGATGTTCCATTTCTACACTATTCACCATTCTTCACGCCCTTCCCGTGCGAAACCCATGCCACGGCGGCGGTACCTTGCTTGCCTGCCCATCTTGATCATTGTGGCCGGGTCCAGAGTGGAAGCATTGGCAATGGATGGTTTAGTTTAGGTTGTTCAGTGCTTCACTTCCCGTTGATTGAAGGTACAAAATGCAAGAAACACTCCTGTAAATACTAGTAAAATCTAGTAAATATATGTCTTTGTTTCCTGCAGATTTTCCTTTTAGGCAATCCATTGATCACTGCTACGTCTCTCGCCCAACGGTCAGGTCCAAAGCAACTTCTCCGGGGAAACTTGGTCAGTGGCGGTATGGAATCAGCACAGGAAGTCCAGCTACTACCAGAAGGTGCCAACCTGTGAGTCCAGCTGCCACCTTGGGTCTTTGTGTTTGTTGCTTCCTTCCTGGTTTCACCTTATGATCCCATCCCCCTAATACCCCCCCTAATAGGAAAAACACTCCCATTGTATGGTCCCTTAAATAAGTGTAAATCCTCCACTAAACCATGGTTTATGGGGGGTGTTTAATATTAGGGGGATGGGATTAATTCTTCTTTTTCTTCTTGGGAGGACTGTGTTTGGATGCCCCAGCTGCTTCAGCAGGGCTACAGCAAGAAGGACAGGGACCTGAGGCTGCCGCAATCAGCTCAACAACCCCTCCGAAATCACCTACACGGCTAGCAAATCCCCATCATAAATTCAGGTTTCAATTGGAAAATATGGGAACATCACCTAAAAATGGAAGAATCCCGATCATAAATGGAGGTTTATGATTTGGACAATCATCGAACTAAATGGGGTGATTTTTCATGATTTTCAGTGGACTATGTGGCTGATTTCCAGAGGGCGATTTGTGTCCCACCTGCTGTGGGACTTGAGTTTCAAGTTCTTCGTCTTGTGCACAGGACATTGTTGCTGCGATCGATCGACTTCAGGTGTACTACTCACCACTAGAGCTTCAAAGATGGGTGGCTGACCATGACCTTGTGGCTGTGCAGGACCTGGTACAAACAGCAGAATACCCCTGTAACAATTGATGAATTTGGGTATGGGCCTGGGTCAAAACAAACACGAGGGCCATTTTTTTTTTGCGGCAGGTTTTGTTTTTTTTGGTGCCTGGTTCTATGCTTTCCTGCTTCTGATTTTCTGATTTTCTGCTTCTCTGCTTCTCTGCTTCTCTGCTTTTCTGCTTTTCTGCTTTTCTGCTTCCTGCTTTTCTGCTTTCCTGCTTCTCTGCTTTTCTGCTTCTGCTTTTGCTTTTCCCGCTTTTCTGCTTTTCTGCTTTCCTGCTTCTCTCCTTTTATGCTTTTGCTTTTCCTGCCTTTCTGCTTCTCTGCTTTTCTGATTCTCTGCGTTTCTGCTCTTTGCTTTCCCTGCTTCTTTGCTTTTCTGCTTCTCTGCCTTCCCTGCTTCTCTTTCTCTTCTGCTTTTGTGCTTCTGTGCCTTTCTACTTCTACTATTCTAAGTCGTCTTTTTTCCGTCATGTGTTTCTCTGCTATACTTCCTGCTCCTTTGCTCTTCTTATTGTTTTTACTCTCTCTTCTTTTTTCATTTTATTTTGCTTTATTCTCTCCTGTTTGTATCCTAAATGAAACCCTAGCGAGACCCTAGGTGAAACCCTGAAAGAACCCTAAAGAAACCCTACATAAAACCCTACATAAAAACCTAAATGAACCCTAAAGAAACCATAAATTAAACCTAAACAAACCATAAATGAAACCCTAAAGAAACTTTAAACGAAACCCTAAATGAGATCGTAAAGAGACCCTAAACCACACTCTAAAAAAACCCTAAATGAAACCCTAAATGAACCCTAACTGAAACCCTAAAGAACCCCTAAATGAAACCCTAATTGAAACCCTCAAGAAACAGTAAATGAACCCCTAAAGAAACCCTAAATGAAACCCTAAAGAAACCCTAAATGAAACCCGAAATGAACACCTAAAGAAGCCCTAAAGAAAGCTACTTGAACGTTTTGAAATCCTGAAAAGAAATCCTGGTAAGAAACCCGTGCATGAATCCCTAAAGAAAACCTAAATTTAACCCTAAATGAACCCTAAAGAAACCGTTTTAGAAATCATGATACGAAATCCTGATAAGAAACCCTAAATGAGACTCTAAAGAAACCCTAAATGAAACCCTAAATGAACCCTAAGAAACCACAAATGAAACCCTAAAGAAACCTTAAATGAATCCCTAAATGACACCCTAAAGAAACCTAAACGACACCCTAAAAAACCCTAACTGAAACCCTAAAGACACCCGAAATGAAACCCTAAAGAAACCCTAAATGAAACCCTAAATGAACTCTAAAGAAACCCTAAATGAAACTCTAAAGAAACCCTACTGCAAATCAGACCCTAAATGAAACCCTAAATCAAATCCTAAATGAACCCTAAAGAAACCATAAACCCTAAAGAAACCTTAAATGAATCCCTAAATGACACCCTCAAGAAACCCTAAATGAAACCCTACATGAAACCCTACCTGAAACCCTAAAGGGAGCCTCAAGAAACCCTACAGTAAATGAAACCCTAAACGAAATCCTAAAGAAACCCTAAGTGAAACCCTAAAGAGACCCTAAATGAATCCTAAAGAAGCCCGAAAGAAACCCACATGAACGTTTAGAAATCCTGATAAGAAACCCTACATGAAACCCTGAACCTAATGAAACCCTTAAAAAACCCTATATGAAACCCTAAATGAAACCCTAAAGAAACCCTAAACGAAACCCTAAATGAAACCCAAAATGAAACCCAAAATGAAAGCCTAAAGAAACCCTCAAGAAACCCACATGAACGTTTGAAGTACCAAAATGTATCAAATACCATGCACATGATAGGTTGAAGTGCCAAAATGTTGCAAATATCATGCAAAATGGAAGGCACACATGGCCAACTGTAGCAAATACCTTGCAACATGCCAAGTGACCATGCCAAAATGTAGAAAATACCATGCAAAATGACAGATTCTCGTTCCAAACTGATGCAAATACAAGGCAAATGGTGCCAGGAAAGACAACAAAACAATCAAAAACCTGAGGCAAAAAAAAAACAAGAACTATTCTACACCCAAACAAACACCCCCACGGATGGGCGAGTTCGGTGTTTGCTTTCCAGTGATGAGGTTTTTGAGATGGGTTTGTCCAAAAATGGGGAATACCCCACTTGAATCCAATTTACACATACATGTATATATATAATTATATATAATTATATATATACATATTATATAAATAATAGATAGATATGTATGTGTATATATATACATGCATAATATATATATATATGTATACATGCATATTATATATACATATGTATATGTATATATATATATGTATGTATGTATATATATATTGGTTCCATATATATATATGTATATGTATATGTATATGTATGTGTATGTGTATATGTATAGGTATATGTATATGTATGTGTATGTGTATGTGTATGTGTATGTGTATGTGTATGTGTATGTGTATGTGTATGTATATGTATATGTATATGTATATGTATGTATGTATGTACGTACGTACGTACGTACGTACGTACGTATGTATGTATGTATGTATGTACGTACGTACGTACGTACGTATGTATGTATGTATGTACGTATGTATGTATGTATGTATGTATGTATGTATGTATGTACGTACGTATGTATGTATGTATGTATATACATATACACATACACATACACATACACATGCATATACATATACATATACACATGTATATATAAATATAATAGTTGTATATATATATATATACATGCACACACACACATGTACGATTTCGCCATGAAAAACATGAACAACTGGTTGTATTTAAACATATCCCATCCCCCATAGCGCATTTGAGGAGGCCGATCCTTCGTTTTTGGATGCCCTGGCAGATGCCGACATCATCCGCGGTGCAGATGACCGGGATGGACGTGGCATACAGGTGGAGTCGTGTGCCTGGGTGACCATCATTCAGTTACCTTATCGGGGGGGAGGCGGGGGGTTGGGGGTTGGGGGGTTGGGGGTTGGGGGTTTGGGGGGTTGGGGGTTGTTAAACAACATCAAAACACATAAAACACATCAATCAAACCATGGCTATGCCATGGCTAACCCAGTTTCGGTCGTTAACCAGTTTTGTTTGACACGAAGTAGTAGCTGTGGCTTTCACCGTTCAACATGCGCCAAGGCACAGCTCTGATCTTGCCCAAAGCCCGTTGCGTGCGCAGCGAGAATGCCGTCTTGCAGTTCGCCATGCGAATGCGGACCGTTTCCCGAGATCACTCCATCGCGTTGGTGGAGGATGGGAAGGGGCAGCGACTGGTGGTGTGCTCACTGCACCTCCATCCACCAGAGATGATCCGGAACAATCGTGGCCCAAGATACAAACAATATCTGGAGCCGTTGCAGCAGGCAGTGGAATCTCTGGCCGGAGTAGAAGATGGTCTGCTGCAGACTCCTTGTTTACTTCTGGGGGATTTTAACGTCAGTCCTGAGAACTTCCAGCAGTTGACTTCTACCGTGGATTTCTGGAGACAGCTGCTTGTCATGCTGTGGGCTGGTCGCGATATTCTGAGTGCAGACCAAATTGGGCACCTAACATTTATATACATATGTAATTATGTATATATGTATGTATATATATATATTAACATGCATACGTTATATATGTGTATATATTTATGATAAATAAATAATAAGTAAAGAAACAAATCTCTGGGTCCTGGAAGTGGTGCGCCCTTTTTCGTCGGCCCTGAAAACCGGAACGGAACCCTAGAACCCTGGAACGCTGGGACCTGCTGTTGGGTTGCCAGCGCGTTTTATCCCATCCACCTAGTATTAAGTATCCCTCATATGGGTGCCGATTCATGAACAGCCCCAATACATTCCACCAGGAATTTGTTTACGAGTTTTATCTACGGGATATCGGGATTTTCCCATAATACTGGCAATTCTGCAGACGCTTAGGTCCCATAGTATGATGGAAAAATCTGCGGGAACACCCCTATAAAAAACATGGTAAAAGCCATGGTAAAAAGCCATTTATAAGACCTGTAACATCTCCAAATATTTTCTGAAAAAGTGGTGTAGATGTCCTTTCTGAATTTCAGCCAAGTCATTTTTTAGTCCCGAGAAACTGATGAAACCAATGGATATCCACAGGTTTCGCGCTTGAGGTTCCACGTGGTACGGCCCGCTGAGTCCACCGCCCACCGATCCAACCCCTGCAGCTGCGGGGACTTTGCCTTGGCAGCTGGAGGCACCTGGCGAGGCCACGGAGAGGTTGGGGCAGTGAATGGGTAACGACCATGGAAAAAGATGTTCAGAAGTGATACTAGACTCACTAGACTAGACCTTACTAAACTCCTTTAAATGATAGTGATTCAGAAGTTTTTGAAGCTAGAAGGAATGACAAGTGATAAGAGTTAATGAGAAGTAGGAAGTAAGAACTCTGGCCAATCCCTACTAAACTTTACATCCAGTCCCTACTAAACCTGATTGGTAACCATGGTGAACACTGCTAGGCCGCGCGCTGGGTTCTGATGACTTCCGTGCTTTCGAGAAGCACGCCGAGCGCGTTTTCAAGGCAATGGATGGCTTCCACTTGAAAAACGTACAGTACAATATTTCAGTTTTTATTCAAGCACATACATATTATATATCTATATACATATCATGTATGTGTATATATATATACATATCTCAAATTTGTTGTATATATATATATACAATACTGTATATATGCATGTGCATACATGTATCCTATACCCTAATCAAGCAATTTTACAGTCCTGCACCCTATCATCATATACCGGATGGACCTCTTGTTTGTCTAGCTTCAGTGCCATTCTTTGTCGAAGGTTTTGGGTGACGACCTCATGCTGGATCGCTACAAAAAGGCGATCACACTTTCGGATGATTAGGGGACATTTACAGTTTGCTAACGCTGCTGAAAGATGCTGAACGTGCTCATACAGTTTGGCAAGATGCTGAACAGCGGGGAGGGGTGCCCACTCTTTTGCTGTTGCATGTACTGAACACATCATCTCAACCAAGACAGTTACGCGATGGTGGAAGGGATCTCATCTATCACGACACATGGTCCAGCAGAGATGACAGCAGGGAATGGCAGATTGTGGTTAAGCCCTAGGAAATGGTATGGAGCTCTACAGAATCTGGTAGTCTTTGTGGAGGTTGCAAGAATATTTTGACCCACAACTCTGGCACAATTGTTCTCACTTACACTTCATAGAGATATTAGAGATGCGGTGTGGAGACAGGAGGAAGCTTGCCAGCCTCTTGATTGGCAGGCAGAGCAATGTTGTCAAGAAGCGCGAAATTGGCTGCTTCATCCACCTTTAGATGCTGAATCTCAGCAAGAGGCCTGGATGAGATTTGATGCATGTTTCTGACTGGTGCAGTCTTTCGAAAGCGGCTTTGTCAAATTGCATAAATTGCAAGATAGGAATGGTGAAGAATGGTGAAGCTACCCTTTGGATCCTTTGGTAGTCAGAGAGTCGTTGCTGCCCTCATTGCAGTTACCGCTGGAGCAACTCTCAAATGCCCGTGTGGCGTTGCAGAGTGCTATACGGAAATTGGGTCGACGGCCCACGCTCCGACGCACCCTGTTGCAGCTCGCCAGCATTGCAAATTCTTCCAAGCAGTGGGCATTGATGTGATTTTAGGATATTTTAGGCATTGGCTTTAGCATTGATTAATCCAATTTTCACATTAATATGTGATAAATTCTTCCTTTGACCAGGATTTTGGGTTTTTGACTCTAAGGAACTCAGATCATCGTCCACTCTGCTTTGATAGCATTGTGAGCGCTAAAAAGTCTCGAGGCCACCAGGGTGCCACCGTGTTTTTTGATGTTTTGATGCTTTTTTAGTGTTTTTTTTGTAGCTTGATGTATTTGTACCTTGTCTTTCTACCTGCTTGATACTGGTATATCTAACTAGGAAACATCAACCAGACTGAGCTTCCCGATTTGGCATCCTTTTGTTTACACGCAAGTTGGATTGTTGTTCTCTTTCGAAGGTAAGCGAAAACCGAAAGGGGATGTTGCGGAGGCTGGGTCTGGGAAGGGTCGCTTGACAAGTCAGATGACGAGACCAAAATATCATGAGATACCAGGCAATAAAAGGTGATGGACATTGATTGGTTGATCGTGGGTAGGGAGTGCAATACCACTAAGACTATGATAAAGCTCAATACGGAATAATGTCCAGTAGCCACTACGGGTAATAGTGTCAAGGGCCCATGTGTGCGTCATCTCCGTCCCATTTGCTTTTGAACAAATACTGCCAGTATGGTCTTGTACATGTTATTGAGGACCTCAATTCTCGAAACAGGGTATCAAACAGAACGAACAACAGCCCGCAGCATCTCTGCAGATGGGAACGTTCTAGCAGCCTTTTGTGATGTATCCATTCATCTAGAATATATCTAATTTACTCCATTGAATGAAATTACTACGCGAAGATATCAGATATATTTCTGTGTGCTGAGGCCAGCGCTTTGATGAAATCGATACCATGGATTTATATCAACAGCTACAGTCCAACTCACGACCGTCCAGGCTGAGGTGACCGTCCGTGGTGCAACCGCTGAAAAGATGGCGCGTTGCGCTTTGCATGGCTGACGTTGAGTCGATACAATCTGGGGAGGTTTTCAGAGGGAAGTGTCGCAGTTGTCCTGGTTCAATGATGTTCAAAGTAGCATGTCATCACACGAAGATTCAGCAAATCCAACATGGTCAAAGTTACCCAGCCACTTCCACTTCGCGCAACTCAGCAAGCAGCTTCCTCAGCGAACTCTGCACTAGATTAATCCACCAGAATCCAATTTGATCAAAGGGCAGCCTTCCAGAATCAATTGATGAGTCACATTAAATCCCATGAAATCACCTTTATGATTGGTTGAATACCCATGTAGCCTTTCCAGCCATAGGGTGATCCCCTCCAAAAAGCCCTCCAAAAAGCCCTCGTTTTGCCTTGGCCCACTGGATATTGCCGCATTGCCTCTTGCAGTGTGCTGGGCATGCGAATCTGGTGCGGGGCTTGTCTTGTCGTTGCACCACCAAAAAAACAGCCATCTCCAGCCCCGAAGAGAGATGGGTATGGATCAATACCTATTAATACCATTTTTAGGGGGATGAACATCCATTTACCAGCTATTTTGATGTTCACCAGGGGTACAAGGTTTTGACACACTGCCAGATGCTCACGTGACCTGTGGCTTGAGGTGGTTTCAGCCCATGGGGCCAGTGCATAGATGGCATAGATGATCGAATACTCGGAGTCATGGCTGATTCTCACTCTCCTCCGGTGGAAAGGCCTCGGTTGGGGCAACTGGGGCAACCTTTTGGGATGTGTTGCTGGAAGTTTTTTCTCAAACAAGGGATTTTTGACGCACCCATGTTGTTGGCACAAGATCCAGAACCCCATTCAACGCAGTCCTGCTGCTTAGTAAGGAGGAAACAGTTTTGCTTCAACTGGCCTTCAGGTAAAAGGGCACTAAATCTCTCCAAGATGAGCTTGATCCATCTTGATCCATTGTTGCAGGCTCCGTTTTCCCTCGATCCTGCTACTTTGCCATACCTGCAGCTATCCTCACTGCGGTTTTAGTCAAGGCCAGTGGGCAGTCTGGAGGTGGAAACTGGACAGTGAGATGACCCTTTCTGACAGAGGAGGGGTACCTCCCATTATAATTAAATGAAATTGACATCTTTGATCGATAACAGAGACAACTTGCCAACTCAGCCGGCTCTGCATAGGTGACATGACGTGACTCCTCTCATGTTTTCAGTTTAAACAGCACGTGAGGTAGAAGAAACAACCCGAGTGCAGTTTCGAGAGGAGCAGTGTCAAGGGAAGTAACAAACATGTACAGTATAACTTTCCTTAGGTATTTGAACTACGTCTCTGGTTGACAACTGCACGTGCTTGAGTTGTGTTGCAGCGCCTGATGGTTGCAACATTGCACGGCACTGTTGAGGAGCTGGGGCTGTTGGATGCCAACAGAAGTCAGCTATGGATAATCTCTGTGGGTGTGCTGCATGCTTTGCTCATCTTCAGGATCAACAGGGTTTGATCCCCAGAACCAGCTGTGTGAACCGCCTTCGAAAACGGTGGTGCTTAGCATGGTGCAGACAGAGCAAACCGATTGTTGTAACTTTGAATCTCCAACATGGCAAAGTTTCAGCAGAAAAAACACTTGGGCAAGTTCAGATTTAAGGCTGTGAAATCATCACCACGCGATCTTGAGGCTATGGAACGCTTTTGGGAAGGTACTGGATTGCTCCACCAGATGCGTGGCGAGTGGTTTGATGCTGTGAGTTGCTGCGTAACCTTCACCCGTGGCTCTATAGCAACCAGGCGGCCCTGGGGTTCGCTCCTGGGCTCTGGGTCCAACCATTGGGTTTTTTCATGGCTGACAAACTGCTGGAAAGCCATCTTTTCGGAACCATTTCTGGAAGGCGCAGGAAACCATGGTGAATTCCAGAAAATCCTCAGGGTTTCCCATGGTTTTCCTGTAGATGTTTGCATCGAAGTCGAGAAAAAACTTGTGATTTCGGCATTGCATTGGTGTGAGCTGTGAGGATCAGACGGTGTCACGTGGTGTCACGGCAGGTACGAAGACACCATGAAGTTCCGACACACCATCGTGCGCCCTGTCCTGAGCGCATGCTTAGCACAAGTTGTTGACTATCGCTGATGCTGCTGATGCTGCTGACAGTGGTGAGGTCTGATGAGTCTTTGTCATGGAAGTGCTTTAGGAGAGATTGGAGGCGCGATAGAAGCGACGTCACCGACGTCAGAATTCAGAAATACTGTAGAGGTGATGCCATCTGCTCGGCTGATCTTTTCCTTGCCGCTTTCAGGTGAAGACTCTGATTTCTGCGAGACCATTGATGCTTGACTTGCAAAGAGCCAGTGGAATTTATCTGACTTCGTTTTGTTGATTTAGAAGACTTTCAGCTCGCGTGCTGCAAGGCCGTCATTGTATATATCAACCGTTGTCAGTCTAACAGTGCCAGTGCGGACGGTCACGTATTCAATATCTATTCACAGACACTCTCAACCACACACACACAAGGTCCGTATATATAATATGCCAGATCCTACGAAATACAAAAAGGCAACCCTTGCACACTGCAAACTGGAACAACAACAGTTGACTACGTATTCCTGTACTACTCTTACCAAAGCAGTGCATGCCATGTCCATCAATGTCGAGCACTTGACACATGAAGAGTATGTTCATGCAAATGCGGAAAGCCGGGAGCTTTAAGCCTTACACAGTAATACAAACACATAGCCATAGGTCCTGATCTTATGCACAAATGTGCACAGACATTTTAAATATTTAAATGAAGTGCTGGTGAATGTCCAGAAAGATTATATCCCATAGCGGCGAAACTTTTTCTCCTAGCAACAGACTTTTCAGGATGCGGCTGGCTTGAGCGATCTGACCCAGCACCACTTAACGGAGTGTGCGGAGGCTGGAATTTTTCATCAGTCCCAGACGGCTCTGGCCCATGTGGATAACTCGCAGCTGGTCATGTGGATAGCTCCGCCGAGGTTCTCCACTTCAATCGTGTTGAGGTGCTGCTTCACATGATCCAGCTCCTAGGTTTGACCAGTTTGAGCCACTTTCATTTCTTTTGGCTACGGATAGAGCTGGTGGAAGGGATACTGTAGCTACACTGTAGCAGATAGAGTTTTTTAGTGTCTCCTTGGGGGAAGATCATGCCACTGATCACGATCATTACCTCGCTATCAGCGAGTTTTCATTGCAGTCAAATTGGCAGATGTTCTCTCAGGTCGTTGATTACACACAACCTCGACAACGGGGTTTTGAATCTGGGTAGCAAGGTTTGTTGAAGCTGGATCGAAGCTTTCAAACTCCCAATGTACTCGTAACTGCGCATGCAGCCTTGCACGCCTGTTTTTTTCACTTGTCAAAAACTACTTCAACCATGGAACAATTTCAGCGTAACATGAACATGAATGTTAACATCCACCCCACCCCACCCAATGATCAACGTAGCATCATCAGCGTAACATGAACATGAACATTAACATCCCACCCCACCCCACCTCACCCCATGATCAACGTATCATCATCAGCGTAACATGAACATGAACGTTACCATCCCACCCCACCCCACCCCACCCCATGATCAACGTAACATCAGCGTAGCATGAACATCAACGTTAACATCCCACCCCACCCACCCCACCCCATCATCAAACAAAAACAGAAAAACGCAAAAAACACCAAAAAGACCACAAAACACCCAGGTGCCCTGCAGCGCCCATGGCAACTATATACACACACACACACACACGCACACACACACACATATATATATACACAAAATCTAGTGTAATATCACGCGGTGATTCAAATACAATGTATGCTGCATGGCTGCATCCATGATTCTGACTCGGAAGAATCGCAAGGCCCCTCCCACCGAGGAGAGTCCAACCTCCAATTCTCTCGCGCGTGTACCAGACGCTCTCCAGAGGGTTTGTGAATCTCTTGAATGCAAAGAAGATTGCAGACACCAGGCATGGCGGCATGCAGAATGAGTGCTGCTATTTTTGGTTGCTGATGGATGTTTGTTCAGTGCCATGCTTGCCTTTGTGTACAGAGAAAAGAGATGAAAAGAGTGGTTCTTCTTTAGCATCCTGATACTGATGATACTGTGATTCCCAAGGATGATTCACAGTTCTAAAAGTTTGAAGCGCGCTTCTGGTTTGGCAGATTCCCCTTTCCATTTTCGCAGCTCATCAGCGGCCTCTTGCCGCGTGCTTGGATAACCATGGCTGACCTTATCAACTCCCCATTTCGATTCTGCGGATTCCGGTGCTGAGATTCCACTGAGGTTGGTACACGTTGCTGCGGCCTCAGCATTGGGAACAAAGTCATGCGAGACCGACTGAGAGATACCTAGGGTAGTAGAAGGTAAAACAATGTAAAACAAGTTCACGACTGACAGTCCGATTTTTTTTGCTTTCTTCGGTGACTCTGACAGGTTATGCTTCCAATCTTGCTCTCGGCCGTGATTGCAGAAGCCAATCCCTCAGCCTTGACATGTGACACGATCACGAAAACCGAAAGCCGATTCCGGTTCTGAGTCGACTGAACGCGCCTTTGATATGCAGTGTGCTGTTGCCTGACACATTTTGAACAGAACCTACGTGTTTTTCCTTGGGCGTAGGTGTGGCTGGCGACCACTTTGACGTTCATTCCCATTTTTTCCATGTGCGATCCTTAGTGTCACCAGCTTCTGTGGAAGGGAGTCTCCACCGATGTTGTTCGAAATGAGGTGCTGCCTGAACTACATCGGAGTTGAGCTGGAGAACCCGTTTGGACGGGATGACAATGACTTGCCCTTGAAGCATTTCCAAGTGCGCTCAGCCTTGCAATACATAAGCGGCCAAGATCTTGTGAAGCCAGAGGAAGTCGGTATGTCAAAGTTCTGATGATGATTGGCTCAAAAGCAGACAACTCGTCCGCTAGCGACATGCTTTGCTTTGGACATCCACCAAAAAACAAGAGTCTCCTGAGGGATTATCATATCCAACAGATGCTCTCGGGCCTGCGACCATGCTGATACTGCAGCACTTCAGAGATCGGAGAATATGTGGCTTATTGAAGCAGCTCGCGCAGCTTGAAACTCGCAACTGATGCAGTCCAAAAGCCTGCAGATTCTTCCAAGGCCATTGCATTGGTAGATTCTTCTCATTGTTTTATCGGACCCGCTGTTTTGAGAACATTCAACAGAGCATGAAATGAGACGAAGGAAATGGGCCCCATATTTGCGCATCAACAGCATACAGTAGTGCTTTTGCCCGTGCCGCAAGCTCCCGCAATGCCCGAGTGTCCCATTTGCTTGGGCAATGTCGACGACACTCGGCACATGGCTAGCACCAAAAGACATAACACAATTTTGCTGGTTTGAGAAATGCTGTTGCTTCGACATGGTTTTTAAAGAATTGATTCATTGCTAGTGCTGCGGTGTAAACTTCGCACCGGCGTGCAAGGACCCCTGTGTTGCTCCGTGCAGTCATGTGTACTGTTGTTGCTTGGCATTGAATAACTGAATAAGTTGACAGAGATTCTGCTGCGAGTTTGGTTGACGTGTGAATGATGATAGTGCTTCTTGGCTGAGTGCTTAAGAGCCAAAGCTTGGACAATGTCATTTCATTCTTCATGATCTTCATGGTTAGAGGTTTCATATTTTTCAGTAACCATATTTGATGATGATCCACCATGAGTTTCTTTGGATGAGTAGCTCGCCCACCTACTACAGACTTGGTCTATTTTTTTTTCATTTTTTTTTCATTTCAGCGCTCGAAAAGGTCAGTGCCTTTGCTGCGACATGCAGAATTCTCGAATTTAGGTACAAAAGACGTGCCTAGTTTCCCTGATAGTCAGGCATCCATGTTTGACGATGTACATATGAGCTGGCTCTTGCAGCTCCATGGACCCATTGCAACAGGTGATCAGGCAAATTTACAGGTTGTACTGCACGCTGCCTATTGGCGGCAGTCAAAGCCTGCAAAATGGTGAAAGCAAGGCCCCTGCAAAATCGGGCTGGATACTCCTTATGTTTGGCCGTCTTAAACTGCCCAGTAGCGTCACGACCTATCGCAACTTCTCTTGGCCTCACAGCGGTAGTATCAGCGCATTGGTATAGGTCCTTGCAAAAATTTGGCATCTGGTAATGAAGGAGCCCCGTTGGCTTGGTAACTGTTGCGCCCCATTTGAACTGGCAGATGTGGGACAGCTTAGCATCAGGATGGCGCACCAAAACCTGCAATATGGCACTCGTCCATATGCTGGGGCGTGTGTCATCCCTGGGTCTGGCAGGATGTTCGGAAACGAAAAAGCCTCCGCACTTCATATGATAGGAGAGGACTAATGCTCCCTGTTGAAAAAAGTTCCCTCCTAAATGACATTGGCGGAGTTCACGTCCGGTGAGACCTTCCAATCCCAGAAGGCGTTCAGCTGACCGTAATGGCCTTGGTAGATGGGTACCAGGCGGAAGATCTTCAGGCACCATAAAATGGGCTTCACTGAAAGTCTCGCACGGGGATCCTATCAGGGTGGCCCCAACTGCGCCAGCCGCATGGATCTGCTCCAACATACGCCAAGAGGCACTATCAAGGGCAAGGTCACCAAACTCACTAGACACTGCCGTGTCCAGTGAGAGGACTATCAGCTTAAGCCTGCTAGAGGCGGCAAATTCATACAAGGCATCATGCACATCCTCTCGTCTCCTCCGGCCACTAAACAGATGTATTACCAGGAAGGCCTCTTCCCCATTGGGGAGTGACAACCTAGGACATGCTTTGGGCGTCGGGAGGTCAAGGAAGTTCATCTGGCGGATGTGTTGTTGCCATTGAATTTGGTCGGCAAAGGGTCTAGGGACTTCTTGGATAGTTTTACTGTTAACCTTAGGGCACCTGGGCTTAACACCTGTCGGCAACGGTCCATGTGCCTTAGGGCCCAGGGGTTCACAGAGACCTAACTTGTAGATCAAATGTGCCCTCTGCGCAAGCAATCGATAACGATCCAATTGAGCAGCAAAGTCAGCAAACAAATGATCGATATCTAACTCCGCAACTCCATCTTCCAGAGTAGCCAGGAGGTCAGGCATCCAGTGCTCGCCCCATAACAGAAAAACCATCTCCAACCAAGGGTCCAGGTCAACTTCCGAGGTAAAGCAGCGCGCACAAAGCACTTCTACCCAGGCATCAGCAAGTAAGTCCTTTTCAGCATCAGAGGGTCCTTGCGGATAAAACTGCTGGAACCAGGTTAACGTAGCCTGTGTGAGCTCTTCTCCAATACGTTCCCCTTCTCCAAGTGGGTCGGGTGGCTGATGAAGAATGATGAGCTTACGGTTACAATCATCCAGGGCAGCCTGAGTGGCTGCACGTTGGATGTCCTGGGTTGTACAGGGGCTGACTGCCGGCCCTTCGGTTTGCAGGCATTCACGTCTGTGGAGACCGGCAAATGATGGAGTACAACCTTCATCAATCTTACAATAGGGCACCTGGCGGTCTTGGGATTGGAGAGCATGAAAACATGGATTATACCCTAAGGCCTTAGGGATATATGCAAGGTGCTGCTGTAAACGCTGGGTAGACCAAAGGAACTTGCCACAGTGCAAACATGTGCATCCTTGCAAGAACTGATGTTCCGCTGAGAAAATGGCATGTGTCCTACGTTGGTGTGCCAAGAGCCCACGCTTAGTAGTAAAAACACTACCACAAAAGCAATCAAATCGCTCATCCCAGTCGAAAAAATCCTCAAAGGCCGTATCAAAGGTGGCACCAGAAGCACGCAGATTCCGGAAGATCCCAGCATGGAGCATCTTTGCATCAGCCATAATGGCATTCTGCGTGAGGTGGAGTTTCCAAACCTTCTTCACAAGATGGTTCCAGTGCTGTGTGGGTTCTTGCCACCAATCAATGAGACTGGTCAAGTCCGTTTTCCACCCTGCTGGCAAGCAATGTGGGCTTACTTCTTCCATCCAGGCAAGGTCGGCTCTGAGGCCATGCATCCATGAATGTTGTATCTGCCTAAACTCTGTGTGGAGTAGATGGTGCAGGAAAGGTGGCCCTGTACGGAAGAGCCTTTGTGCATATAACAACCTGTCAACTGCTAGCCGGGCTCGGATCTCAGCAGTATTGGCAAGCTTTAAGATGCGATCCACTGGGAGGCGCTCCTGGCTAATGCGCAGCACTTTCCTGAGCATAGCGATCAGTGCACCCTGGATATATTGCAATTGCTTCGGGGTTGGCGTGGACCAAGCCCCAAGACCAAAGAAAAGCTTTGTAGTGATTAGTGACTGGAATAATTGCAAACGTAGTTTCCCTGGCAAGTACTTGTTGGCCAGGATAGGCTTCGTCAACTGGGCAAATGCTGATTTCGCAATTCCAACCCGTGATTGTAATTCACATTGCAAGGCATGATTGGATGCAAAAAGGGTGCCCAGGTGGCGGTACGATGAAACAAAGTGGAGCCATTCAGTGTGCCCATCCCCAAAGGTACAGGAGACCCCGGGGTTAGCATGTAGTTGGTATTGCTTTCGCAACTCCCCTGAGCCTGGCCCTTTCAATGTTAAGACCGCACTGGTCTTACCCTTGGAAAAATTTAGGGTAAAGCCATAGCCATGCAAAGTAGTGTGAACATGTTCCAAGGCGGCCTGCAAGAACGGAATCAAATCAGGGGCTTTCCTAGTAGCAAGCGGCACGGCGATGTCATCTGCCCACAAAATGGTACGGACCTCAACATCCAGCTCCTTGAGGAGTGCCATGAAGTCTGAATGGGAATGAATCCAATCGTCAATCGACTGAGCAACCCTGACCATTAGGGCATGGAAAATGATGTCTGCTAAAGGGCTCCCTGGCCGCGTCCCTCTGTGGGTGCGCAACATCCACCGATCATGAATGGTACACCAGGTCCCAATGTGAATATCACGTAGCAAGCGCACAATGGGCTCAGCTATCCCAATATCTGAGAGAAGACCCGGTAGCTTAGCAAAACATTGGAAGTTCGACCTAGCATGGCCTGATTGCTGCAGCGCAGCAAAAACTGGCTCAAGATGTCTTCCATCCCATACTCCTACGACACTCTCCCTAACTAGATGGTGGAATGCGCTTGCCAGGTCCAGAAAGAGAATTGCACAACTGAGGCCAGCATTATCGCAAAGCGTACCAAATGTTCGTAAGGCATGCGACCCGTAGGTAACTTGTTGCCCCGGAAACCCACCAAGCTGCCCAGGGGCACGTACTGGCGCCAGTTTATCCATGATCTGGGTCCTAAGAATGGCATGTGTACGTTTCCCAACACTAGGTAGGAGAAGGATCCCTCTGAACTGTTTAGCCGTCTGCGAGTGCAAGGTTTTAGGGATAAGGGCAACTGGGCCTCCCTTGTCCTGTATCGGTTCACACTGCCAAACAAATTCTTTCAAAGCAAGATCATGGTACAAAGCAGCAAGGTGCGCTGGAGCGGAATGGAAAAGCGCTGAAGGCAGAGGGTCAAAACCAGTAGCCTTGCCGGCAGAGCAGGAACGAAAGGCCTGCTCAAGTTGTGTGAGACTAGGTAGTTCCTTCAATTGCAATTGCAAAGGGGCATCTAGCCGTCGGAGAGCCTGCTCAAAAGCACAATCCTGGACAAGGCCTTCAGGTCTAACTGGGATGCCTGCTTCTAACTCAGCATAGTGCGGTAACCACTGGTCTTCGAGTTGTGCTAGCTGAGCTGGGCGCACAGAAAGTCGTCGCTGTTGGTATTTAGGAAGCGATCGACGAACGACCCCCCATAAGTGCTTCACATCTTGCGGTCGCAGAAAATCAGCACAATCACGTAGCAAACTTGTATAGAAACCAACATCATCTAATCTGAGCGCCCTAGCGACATGTACTCCAAGTGTGCGGAAACGGTGATAAGCCAAGGCAATAAGTCGATCTTGGTCAACCAATAAATCATCAAATGCAGACACAAGAGTATCTAGAGGGCAATCGACACATGCATGTCTCCAACAGGCAAACCAGGCTTCCATGAGAGTGCGCCGCTGGATCGCTGAGCGCTCATGTAACAGGTTCCTGGCTTGTTTTTTCTCCAGCACCAGGTGCCATGTGGACTCTGACATAGTGGCTCTCAAGATTTTGGGACGGGCACAATCTCGAAAATCCCAAAGCTCATCAACAATCGCACTTTGGAGGTCTTTAGCATGTGTATGCACATCAGAATCCCAGTTGGGCGGGGTAAGGCTGTGTAAAAGGTTAGGATCAAAGGCATTGAGACGCAGAGTAAGATGTTGAGGGCGGCAAGGCGCATCTTCAGTACAAACTCTACGCTGGAGATGGACAATGGCAGCACGGTGGTCTTCTTTAGCAAGTCCAACATCAATATCCATACTAATCCAAGACGAACAGTGTAGGAGTTGCCAGCACAGTGGGATGCAAACAAAATCATTACGAAACCACTGCCCCCGTGCATGTCTCCATGTCATACCCAACCCTTTGTGAAATCTGGAAAAGGTAGCTGGTGCCCACAAGCCCTGTTGACTA